CAGCAGCAGCCTTTTCAGCCTTGCGTGCCTTCTTTCTGGCTTTGCGTTCCGCTTCCGTTTCTCCATCCTCCTGCAGTTCATTGGTATTGGTCGAGTTGCAGAGATGAGAACATAAATTTGCTTACCTTAGGAGCTTCGGAACCGTTGACCTCGCTTTCTCTTCTCTTCCGTTTCTTGTCCTTGGGTTCCTCCTCCTCGACGTCCATTTGGTCATCATCATCTGACTCCTCCTTCGCCTTCTTGTCGGCTTTCTTTTTCCCGCGTTTCTCCTCTTTCGCCTTCCTCTTCTCCTCCTTCACGTCGAGAACAGCTTTCACTGCTAGCTCCAGAGGGTCGCGTTGTGCTGGAACCAAGTCCACAGCATCCGCATCCGTGTTGTATGTCTTGGTCTGACCCTTCATCTCAAAGCGTTGCGGTTGTTGATTCTTGTCTGCAAATCTTCGTACACCAGACAAATCGTTTTGATGTTCCAAGGCACGTAAGCGAGACTCCAATTTTGCGCGGTTTTCAAGCCCTATTGAAGGAGCAGTCTCTTCTGATTTTCCATCAGCGTCCGTCAATGCGTCGACACGGATTGAAAGTGCGGCTTTTGTGGCAACCATACGGGCCATCTCAATGGATGGTAATATGTCAGCCTGACGAATTCTTTGTGGTTTCGAAGTAGTGAATTACCTTGCCCTTCAGTTTTGGGGGTGCTTGGCCAATGAGGGAGGCCTATGCAATGTAAGCGAGTTGGACAGAGGAGAACGATCAGTGGCCCACATGATAGATGAGTCCGTATTTTGGGGTATCGTGCTTGGTCTTGAGGGCACGGAAAAGTGCTTTTTCTGCACCGAGAATTTGTACCGTACTAGCTGGGTGCTTCGCTAGGCTCAATAAACTTCCAGCATGTGATATAAGTCGTGCTCCAACAAGGTCGCCGACTAGTGCGGTAAGATTTGGTGCCACTGCGTTCATGCGATTCCGTAAGTACTCTGCAAGTTGCGCACGATATGCAGTTATGGATATGACTTGGTCACATAGTGCATGAATATGCTGTATATCGGTGTCAGATATCTCGGTTCCCATGGATATTTCAGCAGCGGCTTTTAGAACGGCTTCGAGATCTTCTGGCAGTATGGTTTCAAACGCTGTCGTAGCAGCATTCGTGCGGAAACCTGAACCAAACAATATCAACCAAACGGTGGGTTGAGGAAGTATGCTAAACTTACCCATTGTCCGTACAACCTTAGCATAGGCAAGGTTATCAACGATAATCTTCCCCATTTCGGGAAAATGCCATCCATACCACTCCTAGACGCTAAATGAGACTTGCAATTACTGAAATTCGATGAACTCTCCTACTTTGACTCGCATGGAATATATATTGATCTCTTTATCAAGATCATCCAGTAGTGCAATAGCTTGCACAATCATTGTGTCGACTTTATTGGGAGAGAACTTGAGTTTAAATCTGCCGGAATATGTTGCAAACACTGCTTTTCACAATTTGACTCCATAAACTCACCGTGAAAGTGAATGGCTAAGACCTAAGCTCATGGTAGCAAGATCTTTTGGGTCAAGGCCGTCAAGCAATGAGGCAATTTGACTTCGGATACCCCTCCACAAGTCACTATGATCTTCTGGTGGTGAAGGAGAAGTGACTTGAATGCTCAATTTTTTCGAGATAGAATGGGCTTGTCATAAGTGTAAGATGACATGCATGATACTGACACAGATAACGCAACACACCAAGTTTTGGGTCGACCACTACCAATGTTTCCTTCCGCTTTGCTTTCTCCACCACCTGTTCAGTTAAGAATTTCTTCAGACCCTTCCCCAGTTTACCTTCCTGCACGGCAGTAAGATCTTCTACTGCGCTCGCAGTAGACGTAAAACGGTGAAGTGCTTTTAGCTTCAACCTTGTCCATCAAACCAGGTTGAGTTGTATCCAGTACACGAACATCTTGAACGTACAATTTTGTCGCCTTCTCTGGCGTTTCGAAACTTTTATACAGATCTGCTGACTCGAGCTTGGCCGAGTCAGACAGTTTGAACAGGCAATAGCCCATCGCTGTCTCGTACAACACCAGCATTTTGAAAGAGTGGGATAACCAGAACCAATCGCAAATCTTTGCTGCAGAGCTCAATAAGAAAAACTGAAGTGTATAATTACACTAACTGGCATTTGCCGGACTACATCGGGAAATCTGTGACGGTACAAGTGTCACATCGTCGTGTCACGACTTCGCATGTCGATTTTATATTTGGCCATTTACGCTCACATAAGCTCAATGTCAGGCAAATGTCCATGTCAGATGCTTCAAGTTGACATGTGCAACTTCCCTCCCCTGGTTAGTCCGTCGGAGTAGTCTCGGTTCCAGATATCTACATAAATACCGTCCGAAACCGAGACTCCTTCGCTGCATTCAAGACATCAATCAGACATGCTTATCAGGCCAGTGGCTCTACTTGCACTAGCTCTGGGCATTGGTGCTCACAAGCAGATACCTTTCACGGATGATAAGATCCGTCATGATAACGAATCAGCTCCCAACGCTCTTCCAATTGTACCAGAAAGCCTGGCCTCTCTTACATCTGTCGACTCCTTCACAACTTTATCCCATACCCGCTTCCCTCACCACGCCGTTCGCATCAAAAGGTCAGACTTTTGCGACCCCACCGTTTCGTGAGTGCTTTGATTTGAACGAGATATGAAGATTCACGCAAAGGTTTGTTTAGTGTGTACACTGGCTATCTTGATGTCGATCAGGGAGCAAAGCACTTGTTCTTCTACTTCTTTGAAAGCCGCAGGAACCCAGAAACTGGTGCATAGTTTATTGTTTTAGCGTCCTGCATATGATGTTAATGGCATTCTCTAGATGATGTGATGATGTGGATTAATGGAGGTGTGATGTGTCGTGTCGCTAGGTTTTTTCTTCCCTTCATTACAACCCCACAGGTCCTGGGTGTTCTGCCGGGCTTGGCTTGTTATTTGAACACGGTGCGGGCATCACTCTATATGATGTGATCCATTTAAACAATCTGAACGCTAGGGCCATGTAGCATCAACGTTGACGGTTCATCTCTAAACGGTACCAACTGGAACCCGTACTCATGGAATAAGGAAGCCAATATTTTCTTCCTGGACCAACCGTAAGTTCATATGTTGGATCACTCACGTTTGTTTTTGATATTGTGAACGTAGAGTTGGGGTAGGCTACTCATACGCCGACTTTGGTGAAACAGTTGAGACGACAGAGGATGCTGCTCAGAATGTGCATGCGTTCATCACAATTTTCTTCGAGGTTTTCAAACAATTTGAGGGTAGACCATTGCACCTTGCTGGTGAATCATACGGCGTAAGTAACATATCCATGATCTTGTATGTTCTGATAATGGTGGATTCAAGGGGCGGTATCTTCCTGTTTTCGCTAGCGAAATTTATGATCAGAATGAAATTGCAAAGGCAGAGGGACGACCGACCATCAACCTTCATAGCATTCTGATCGGGAACGGTATCACTGATATCTCAACGTGAGCGAATGACTTTACTGTAGTTTCAAATTTTCTCACGAATCCTAGTTTATACCAAGGGCGTTACGAGATTGAATGCGGCATTGCTGCCTTAGAAATACCATTTCAACAAATTAGCTCTTGTGTGCGCATGAAGTCGGCGGTGGGTATTTATCCTAATTCGTTGTCCCTCAGTCTTCCGATGACGCATCTCACAGCTACCTCGGTGCCAAGCTTTGATGCGTGATGGGTGCATCGACCAATTTGATCACATGAATTGCGGTGCTGCAGTTGCCTTTTGCGACGCGCAACTTAGTACCGCAATGTGGGCAAGCGGTCAGTTGAACCAGGATTCGCTACAGATCTCCGCTAAATTGTTTTTGGATGTAAGGTCGGAATGTGTACGATGTCTCAATGGTTGGTGGTTTCTTGAAGCAGTGTGACGTAGCTTGCTTACTTCGCTTACTTCAAGACCTGTGAAGACCAAGAACTGTGCTACGCAGAAGAGGCCGTTATCCGAGGTTTCCTTGATGCGCCAGAAACGCGGAAAATACTTGGTGCTGAAAGCCCCGGTGAATTTTCTCTCTGCTCTGGTATTGTCGGGCGGAACTTTGTCTCTCACCTCGATAAGTGGGCACATCACACTCAAGACTACGTTGCGGCCCTCTTGGAGAGGAACATTAGAGTGTTGATTTATGCCGGTACTCATGACTGGCAGTGCAATTGGATTGCAAACAAGCTGTGGGTAGATAAATTAGATTGGACGGGACGTTCTGCATACGTGAAAGAGAGCTGGAGGTCTTGGCACGTTGATGGGGATCAAGCGGGTGAAACCAAGAATGCTGGCCCTCTGACATTTGCTACGGTGCTGGGTGCCGGCCATATGATAAGTCCTTCGTTACTCTGGCTCCACCATTCTGCTGACCCCTTTATACGTCCCTCATGACAAACCTGCAGAAGTACAGGCTCTAGTTTCCAGATGGCTCGCCAATCAGGCCATCTAAGTGTCAAAGACATGCACACAGCCGACACAGCCACTTAGCGCAAGTCGCTATTTTAGTATCGAGAGATCGAACCGTTGTTCTTTGTGTAGCTGCATTGAATCTAATTTGAAATTTGAAGTGTTTTTTTTTTCGATCATCCCGACGGGTAACCAAGCTATTGATGGCAACGAACGCTGCGCAGCCAAAAACAGGTCCATTGCCTGCAACAACAGCGCCCTGTAAACACAGCCAATCACCTGTGCTTGAGATAAGTCTTAAAAACATCATTCATCGTGATGGTGTATCAGTGTTGTCCACTCCTTCTGCAACCTCCGTTCATTATTCGTGGGCTTTCCCTAGAGGTATGTCTGCCGCATGGATTCGAATGAACATAACTCACGAATTGTTGCGCTATCTAGGATCCCCTATTCTATCTTAACTTGGGTTGCACAGGTGCACCTAACTATTTCCTTCATATCTTTTCTTGCACCTCTTCGTATAACTTTCATTTACGTTCGAGCTATGGTTTTCACTTCACTATACTCGCTCTGTGGCGCTGGCTTCGCCCTGCTTCAGTTGCTGGCTCCAGTCACAGCACGTCCAGTAGCACGGTCTACAAGCTCTTCCACATTACTAGCTCTTCGTGAGTGTTTCTATATCATTCTAGATCAAGCGCTCATGATAGAGCAGAGTTCGCCAACGTGTTGGAGCAGCTCGAGTCCACTTTTTATGCACAGGCTCTTCAAAAATTCAATCAGTCAGATTTCACGGCGGCAGGCTTTGCTTCGGCCCAGATTCCCTTGCAACAGTTTCAGGCTATCTTCAAAGATGAGGCCACTCACACAACTACATTACAGGTGTGTCAAATCATATGTAACATCTTTGAGTATGACGTTAACACCCACTCAGTCGGCTATTAATTCGTTGGGCGGCAAAACAGTGTCAAACTGTACATTCAACGTTGCTTCCTTGCTCACAGACGTACCCACTATGGTGGCGGCAGCGAGACTCGTCGAAAATGTTGGTGTGAGCGCCTACCTTGGTGCCCTAACCTTGATCAACGACACGGTCCTCTCCACCGCAGCTGCCACCATTATGACGGTTGAAGCGCGTCACCAAACCATTCTCAATGTGCTGGCAGGGGCCACCGCGATACCTCAGGCATTCGATGTCGCTCTGAATCCATCTGAGATTCTTGCATTGACAGGGGGGTTAATTTCTGGATGCAATCTTGGAATCCCAGGTACGTACCTAGTGTAAATGATTGTGCTCTTGTTTACCTTGAAACACCCTCGTTTAGCGAATGTTCCGCTCCGAGTGAATAATTCTGGTTCCATTCAAGCAGGAACAAAGTTGACCTTTACCTCGGCTGCACTGAACGGAACTATTCCGGTAGGGGTGTGTTGTCTACATTTCTTGGTTTGTCGCGCAACAACTTACACGTTATCTACACCAGGAACTGTCCTGTCAATTCCTCGCCGGCGGCTTCCCTGTTGCCATCTCACAACCACTATCTAACTGCAGCGTCCCGGCGAACGTAACTGGTCCTCTGTTGGTGTTTGTGACCAACAGTAGTCAGCCCCTCGCGAATAACATTCGCGATGCTGCGACTAGCACCATCGTTGCAGGTCCGACGCTCATCTTCATCGACAATCAACAGGATGCGCTGGCGATCGCAGCACGTCCTGGTCTCAACTCCACTGTGGCCCCTAGTGGCACCTCAAATCCTATAACGTCTTCCACGACAATCACTTTGACTCAAGTCACTTCGAGCAGAGCTATGAGTAGTACCGTCACTTCAACCAAGACGTCTACTTTGACTCTAGCCACTTCGAGCAAAGCTATGAGTGGTACCGTCACTTTAACCATGGCGTCTACTTCGACTCCAGCCACTCAGAGCAGAGCTGTCACTTCAACCGTGACGATAGTTCCCACCACAATCAGCAATGGTTGGACGGCTGTAACCACAACGATCTCGCCATCTGAAGCTAGTGGTATTCTCGCGAGTGCTGTGCCATCTATGAGCTCGGGATAAATGTCGAGAATTGATACGAGATGCTGGATCGAATTATATTGCTCAGATATCTAAAGTACAACAGAACAGAACAGACGACTTCAAGGACTATTGATAGGGGAGGACGATATCCATAGAGTATGAGTTGTACAACGATAGAACGTAATGCAAGGAATGGACTCAATCTTCATCACTATCCTCGCTGGATGATGTATCATCTTCATCCGCACTGAGTTGACCGCCTGCGAATTGATTGAGTGACATGGGCCGTCCAGAGACATTTGCCACTGGTTCAAGATCTGGAGACATTGCTGCCGCCAATATATCATCGTCGGATTCTTCTTCGAGTTCTGCTTCCATCTCCCGCCCGAAGGCGTCGAGATCTATCTCTTCCTCTACTGGATCATTGTGGGTGACTTCATCCCAGTCTTCTTCAGAGTCCGACTCTGCTGCTGCCGGCTTTGTGGGAAGAGCAGGAGGCACGAAAGAAGGTGTTGTCCCTGGCAAGGCTAGTCCGATTGAGACAGACGGCTTCGGACGCTTTGAAGGGCGAGCGGGGCGACCAAAATCAAGAACCTCTTCCAAGTCGGAATCTTCTTTATACGGATTGATTTCTCTTTTCGCCTTCGGCACTTCCTTGGGTTTGGGTTTAGGCTTCGGCTCGGACTCATGCTTCTTTGGAGGTGGAACGACATGACGAGACACCTTAGGTTTTGGAGGTGGCGGAGGCGGTGAAGGGGCTTTGCGAGGAGGTATTTCAATCTCCTCGCCCTCCTCTTCCTCTTCCTCCTCCTTTTGCCCCGTGACCTTCGCCAAAATATCATCGAAGTCATCCACAGCCTCACCATCAGCGTCTGAGAGCCCTAAAAGATCATGTTCCAGCTCTTTCTCCAAATCTCTTGTATCTTTCAGCTGCGCTTCGGGAGGAGTTGTTGCAGAGGCTGGAAGTCACCGAACATGAATGACGATACCCAATCAAGCACCTGGTAGACAACTTACGAGACTTTCGGGCAAAGCTGGAGCTGGAAGAAGAGACTTTCTTGTCGTATGTAAAGCCCATGAAGCACTCTACCTTTTCAAGAGTGAATGTCTGAAGTAGTGTTACAAGCTGGATCCAACAAAATACAACAGAACGGCTACTCACTCCTAATTCCTCATCATAAATTAGGACACAATCATACTCCTTCACCGGCTGTTCACCCCCCTTAAAGAGATGGTTCTCGCCCGGCTAAAAAAATCATCAAAGGAAGTTCTGAAAACTTAACACAGCATATGAGCCGTACCTGTGTGCTAGGGCGCTCTAAAGTGACACTAGTAGAGTCTTTCCCGCGTTTGACTTCCACCGTTCCAGACCTGCTGGGTTCTATTGACTCTGGCTTGAAATTATCTGCCTCGTGTCTTTCAGCACGCTGGTAAACTGACAGTAAAAGGCTTCGTACACCTGAAGGAGTAGAAATCCTTGTCAGGGAGATTAGAGCGCTTCGGTGGAGCTACGCCCTTGCGGGCTTTGAGTGCGCGCCTCAGTGAAGTTCCTATTGCTACTGTGTGTCGGCCCGTTGTGGGCATCCATTGGGTATCTGTAGTCGCCATCGCGAGTCAAGGTTTGACTAGGAAGTAAACGGAAGGTCTGTCGCTTAGGTTTGTATGAATGCTGCACTTGAAGCAGCGCTGAAGTAAGCTTGGCAGTGTTCATTGTTTCCAACTGTCCTTGTTGTTTCCCGCGTTGTGGACAACACACGGTTCGATTCAGGTGGACCCTTTAAACTAAGTTTTTACACTGCCAGTAATACAACACACTGCCCGATCACGATCAAATGTCTTAACTTGATCGCGAGCTCAGATATTACTACTTAACGACAGGCTTTGTTGATATCGTCAATTCGTCGTGTTGGTTGAAACGCTCGAGAAAGCCTGGGTGCCCCCTAGCTTGTCTATCCTTCATGGATCTTTTACCCGACGGTACGACAAGGGACACGGAGGAACAAAGATGGCCGGAATGAGTAGTGGAACAAGAATTGGGGGTATCAAGGGACTCGGCGAAATTCAGGTAAGTGAGACTCGAGGACCGCTGTATACTTGCACTGAACGCCGTCATCAGCAACTTTTGAATGACTTTCAAGTCAATAAAGTAATACGCAACGTGGTTAGCACCTTTCTGGACTCGTTGTAATCTCGCCGGTGTTGCAACGTTGTACATCCAGTTATACACATAATTTTTCATACTCAATCAGGAGGGTCGTTCATCTCGCCAAGAGGACCTGCAGTGATGCCATAAACCCAGGCCGTTTCTGAGGTATTGATCATAAGTTTCATCCATGCAATACCAGTTATTGCTGACAAGTTAGTCGATGCGCCCGTGCACCGCTTCGACAAGCCTCAGGCACTATCATGATCAGCTGAGGCCAACCAAGTGAAGGCCGTGGAATGGACCCATCAGTATCTTGTTGGAGGCTGAGGCCATCATGAATTCATCATTAAGTACCATGATGAATCCCCGTGCATTCATCAAAAGCTGTGTACGACGCGAAATGCACCTCGTGTTTCTCTTTGTGGGTGCCATTCATCTCACTCTATGCCAATGACAATTTACTTATTGCCGATTCTTTCGATAGGCCCGGGCCTAGAGTTTGTACACGTGTGACATAGGCAACTCCGATAGGCCAACAATAGCTAATGATGGAAGACCATGATGGTACGCGATGCGAACTTCATAAGGAGTGTTCCGTTTTCCTTCTAGCACTAGTACAGTGAGGCTGTGTTGAAGGGGTATGCTCCTTGTATACTCCCACTTACATACTTATCTGCACAGAAGCTACACAGTCCGAATCACATAACAGATCTAGATCTATGCCACCTGCTGGTCTCGTGTTCTTTTGTGGCTGCGCGATATATAGTACGGCGCAAACACTACTTTGCCTGGAACGGGCTTGAGCCTCAGTCAACATCAATGTCTTCCTCAACGCAGGACCTCATCCTACAACTTCACCTCGGGAACACGTTTGGGGCACTGTTTATTGGGGTCACCCTTGCAGCAATGTTAGTAACCTATCTGCCCACGAAGCTTAGTTGATTCCTGTCGTCCTAACATGTCTCACGGAATAGTCTCTTTGGTCTAAGTAACATTCAGGCTTTCGTCTACTTTCAGTCGCACAAGGGCACAGGGATATCATTCCATAAGCTAGTCGTACGTTGATGATCCTCCTCTCAGTTCAGTTGTTGATGCTACATTAGGTTGCCTGGCTTTGGTATGTACTCTTCAGTTGTCATTGTCGAGTGCGACGAGTTTGCCCTTCCCTGAAATTTTAGGATACTCGACGCTCTGCACCTGTTTTTGATAGTCCACTGTGTCTATTATTATTTAGTGGCTCACTACGCAGATATCAATGTACTAACGGAAATTGTGTGGAGCTTCAAAGTAAGTGTTGTTGGGGCCTCTGTTGTGCAGCTTCTACTATGATACTAATGGACTCGTGCAGCTTCAGATAGTTATTGATGTAAGTGGGTTTTCTTATGCACTGCGATTCGCTTACACATCCATTACAGGTGATAATTGTCTACGGGGTACATCTGTGAGTCAAAAACGTACTGTTGCCCACGACTTGATGGATTTATGTGATGCTCTTATTGGTCTATAGTCTATACTTTCATCGCATATGGATAAGTATGTGTTACTCTATGAAGCCAATGGGTTTCTACGACTAATAATGATGTATTAGTCGCCAAGGGCCGATCGAGAGTACTCCCTATAGCCGTGGTGGGTTTAAATCGATGATCACGTATCATGGCATTGATTTTAATGATGTAATATCAGGGCGTAATCATAATTTCGGGTTCAGGTGAGTTTGTCATTTGCTATTCCTCTTTACTCGATCTTAAAAAAATTCTTCAGGTGTTGCTATTGGTAAGACTCCAAAAACTCGGTACTTTTGACAATAGTCGGCTCATCATTGTAATCCAATGACAGCCCTTATTTGGGCCATGTGAGTAAAACAACCTGTTCACTAATTATATGAATCGCTGATAGCGAGTAGATATCAGTGTCATGTGTTCTCGGATCTGATTAAAATCGAGTGGGCGACATTTATGGCTTTGGGCACGATTACTTTCGTCGACTTCGTGATCGCATCATCGCTATGCTATCTCCTCGCTATTTCCCGTACTGGATTCTCTAGGTGAGGAGCGGTCTGTTCACTTGAGGGATTTGACATGTCAATATGGAGTACTTAGCACCGATTCCATGTTAACAAAGCTCATGGCTTACATTATTAACACGGGCTGTCTGACAAGGTATTCCTCCTTGGACTTCCAGGCTAGTCTACATTTTGACTCATGTTTCATGTAGCATGTGTTCACTGTCGGCTATGATTACAGTAAGCTTCCAGTGATTATACTGTCCATCTCGTCTCTGATGTTCCTACAGTGCGCAGTGATGCCGCACAACTTCATCTTCCTCGGTGTTGAATTTTTGGTGGCTAAATGTATGACCCAAAGCATTCTCGGAATGTTGTGCTGACCGCTAATCGTTTTTCAGTATACGTCAACTCGTTCCTCGCACTTCTGAACGCGCCATACTACTTGCAGCCCGCTACAGAAACCAACCATTCTGCCGAAGTCCATATGCACCACGGCATCTACCGCCCAGAACTGAACGTTATAGCGTCCCAGGGCGAAGAATTCCAGGCATCCCGGAAAAGCACGTTTAAACACCCTGGCGATGATGTTATACATCTTACTCGATCTGCCATGGTAGGTAGCTGCGTTACTGGCGACGGAAGAGTGCTGATTATTACACTTTAGTCACGTCGGCCCATTGAGGTGACGGTAGAGACGAATTCCTTCTCATCAGTGTGATGTATGAGTACTAGTATGCATGTATCATATATTATCCGGCTCTTCGCGAGATAAGACTTGTGAGTCTTTATTAGATCGTCACGCATCTGGTGTGGGGACAAGAATTTACATAGTCCATTATACTTCCATCTGTGGGTTTCATGTATTACTTTACTCAGAACTACTCAGAACTACTATGTAGTCATTCGGCATACACGGGTTTTCATGCGCTTGGAATCAACGAAACTCTCACGTGCACAACACTAGTCTAGTGACTTGCGCCACCGTGTCTCACGCCACCAAGCCACCCATATCGTTGTAGACAAAGCTTTGTTCTGGCTAACCACCTCCTTCACTAGGAGTCCTTGTGTAATTGAATACATCGAGGAATAGCATACGACTAGTCAGATTTGCGAGACGCTGAATACTCTGATATCCTCAATGCTCCACTTGGTACGAAGGTCCACCGGGCAGTCATCATAGGCGAGGAACCGATGCATCAAAGCCCACGCAATCATCGCCGCATTGTCTGTGTTGAATCTCAAACGCTGTGGACTGATCGGCGTATTGAAGCACCGACCTGTGCATAATTCTAGCAGTGGGAAACGGAGCAAGATGCGCTCATCAGAGCTGTACTCACCCAGTGCTACTCGGAGCCCACGGAAGTTAAGCACGAGAAAGAAACCCGAGCTTGAAAAAACAACCCTTCACGTAAAAGATGTTGCTGGCAACCCCACCGCTAACGACAACATCCATGACGATCATGTCTTTCAGCTTGAGCTTTTGAAGGCGCTTCGTAAGCTTAGCACAGAGTTGACGGGCTGCAGCTGCCTGGAAAGCACGAGCCAAGGCAATTTTTATGTGAACTGGATAAATCCTTCCACGAGAGAAATGTGGCGCTCTGCTGAAGATTGTGGAGATGCAAATGAAAATACAAGTTGTTCCCGGTATTAGTACAGTGAACGGTTGCATGTCGGGTAGGGATTCGAGTTTATCGTTTGTCACGCGGCAAAGCTCCTCGAGTGCTGCACCAGAACCTCTGGTTCCCCAGGACAAGTCAAGGCGCGTGCTTACTGAAACGGAATGAATGAGTGTAGTGCTCGAAGACAGTGCATGTGCAAACGATCCCGGTCGGGTAGCCATATATATTTGGAGGGCTCGTTGGAGTCCTTCAAATCCATTCCCTTCATTATCGAGTATGTAGTCCAGCTGGTCAGCCTGCGCAAAATCGAAGTCATGGTCATAGGCCAGCAAAGGATGGTGGCAGCATATTTGACGGTGCACTCAAGATTGTCGGTAGCTTGCTGGAGGAGGGTATGGGGGCAAGAGTATTGGGGTATCGCAGCAGCTCAAGGAATAATTCAAAAAAGATCACTGTGCATGCTGGTGGAGACGTGTTGATACATTACTGCAATATAAACTGATGGGAACTTACCCTTGGCATTGGTTTCCCTGTATTGCCACATATGTAGCTCTGACAGATGGTGAGCGAGATGGTGAGACCACAGTAGGTATAATCAACGAGTCCGATTGATGACACCACAGTATGGCACCTGGAATACTTGGAAAATGTGGAACTCCAGCCAATGAAATGTTGTCTGTGGGCACGATGGGCGACATGAAAGGCAGTGGGACGAAGGATTAATGAGAGGCTGACGGATGTTGATTGTGAGAGATGCTGACAGTGGAATGGCAGGAGAGGTTGATGACAGAATGGCAAGAGGTACTGACGGCAGGATACGGCGAAACCTTTGACAGACTTCACCGCTGTTGCTTCCCAAAAAAAATTCTCAAGAATTCGAAGAAGGTCAACGTCCCACAGGGTCCTACGGACATGAAACGGAGTCTGAACAATATTACTGCCACGTCTGAATCACTGCTGCAGCATAATGTTGACCTGGGACTCCATCTTTTGTGGCATCATGTCAAGCTGATCATATCGATGAGTCGATAAAGTTGAACAAGACTTTCGTACCGATACCATACTTCAGCTTCAGCGTTCACGCTGAAACTTGAGGCCAATTGGTATTGCTAAATTGAAAATTATCATCCAGCCGAGTACTCCTAGCTGTCAATGGTGTGTTCAAACTCACAACAATAATCTATTGTCCTGCATGGGAGCGTAACGAGCCCGGATATACTGTCTCTGCGAGCTGCGGCGCCGGTCGCTGAATTCAAAAACTTGAATAAAATTCACATACAAGTTTTTCGGGACACAACAGTGATGTATCGCGGAGTACAAAGGGCCCTCGAGGCCTCAAAAGCCACATCAGTGGCTCAGATACCATACCCTTTATCAACTTGATCCACCATGTCGTCTGAAAGTACTATCGCAGTAACAGCCATCTGGACAGACGATCAAAACACAATTAAAGGCGACCTCCTAGGCTCTAGCAATACGGTGGCGATGGCTGTGGGAATATTAGGAAATCACATCAGCAAACATATGACCAAGGTGTACGGCCTCGACCCTCCATTGAACCCACTCGCTATGCGAGCGAAGTACTTTCCAGGTAAGCTTTAATCCATCTCTTTCGTTTGCTGCAGAGACTGACTTATCGATCCACTTCTCTTACATAAAGATGTTCAGCCTTCAGATATGCTCAACGTCTGCCGCCCCAGTGGTTTAACAGCAATATTCAGTCCTAATTTCGAGACGACCCGTCGTATCAAGACCCAATTAGCCCAGAAGGCACAGGCAAATCAGATATCCGTGGAAACCAATACAGCGTTGGCCACTAATACCGCCACAACCTCTCAGTCAAGCACACAAGCAGCCCCATCTCGCAGATGTATGTTGTAACATTCGAATAGTCTTCGAGTACTGATTAGTTTTCGGCAGCCAGGAAAAATAAGAAACGAAATGCTGCATCGGCAGCCAATCCTGTGTCGACAGCGAATCCCGCATCGACGTCCAATCTCCCTCAGGTGACCATGGACGACCAGCTCAAGGCGATGCTAGCCTCGATGCAAAGCGAGATTGCGGAGATGCGGGGAAAGAACGAGAGGATTCTCAATGAGAATGAGAGCATTCGCAACAAGAACGAGAGAATTCTCAATGAGAATGGGGACATGCGGAATGAGATCGGGACCATGCGGAATGAGATCGAGACCATTCGCAACGAGAATGAGAGAATTCTCAATGAGAACCAGACCATTCGCAACGAGAATGAGAGAATTCTCAATGAGAACGAGACCATCCGCAACGAGAATGAGAGCATCAACAATGATCTTGCAAGCGTTCGCAATGATCTAAATGCGGCGAGAGTCAAACACAGTCAGGACGTCGAAGCACTGAAAGAAGTAAGTCATCTTTCTTTCCGGTCACTAATTCTGACAACAATCTCCTTAGGTCACCATGCTACTAGTCCCTTTGCATCTTCGCGTCCTACTCGACCTTGCGCGCAAAAAGGTTCTGGAGCACCTCGGCCACGAGACGTGGGAAGACCTCCGCGCTTCCCGCAGTGTCTATCAACTCTCAGATACCATCTGCAATGATCTCAAACGAAAGGGTGTATCATACCCCCCATCATCCGAGTCCATCTTTTTCTTATGTTCATATAATAACATCAGGAGGGCAGGAAATACAGCTGCTCACAGCGCAAAGGAGGACGACATCAGACATGCGGTGTTAACGCAGTCGCTGGAGTCCCGTGACCGAAGATGCTTGGAAAGTTTATTTACATATGCGTACAACGGGGTGCCAGTCTAGGAGTGATCATGGCATCTACTATACCACTAATATTTGTACTACATGGCTTCAACTCAAATGCACTTTGTTACGACTGTGATGATTTCATGCACGTACAAATGTCGTTGATAGCAGTGTCCGGTCGACCTTTAAGCTCGAGAAATCAAGGGGGTGACACTGCCACTGTCCCGTCAGGGTTTGTTCTATTTCTTTCGCACCTGTTCCAGCAAGGCTAAGCTCGAAGGTTCGAAATTTGAAATTCGATAGCCTGGCCCAAGTGCCAGTCCCCGACTTCAAGAAATGACGAAGGATTAGCAAACAGTCCATTGATATGGTACTTCACAAGTTTCACAATGCCATAGTATCTGAGTCTAATCATCGTCAGTTTCCAGCTGCGAGTCGAAGATGTCATGGCTCTTCGTGGCACCGTTGCCTGATCATGATGTATGCCCGGACGCAAGATGCAACTTGTGTTTCTCTTCATGTGGGTTGTCATTGATCTCACTTCGTGCCAGCATAGTTTACATATCGCCAATTCTTTCGATCATGACTAGGGTTCCGCACGGGTAACACCGCGGGTCGGAAACTCGACACCGTACCCGTACCCGCCAACACCGCACCCGCCACGGGTACGGGTACACACCGACCCGTAAACACCGTGAGGGTACACACCGACCCGTAAGCACCGCGGGTACATTAACAAGAAGAGTGTATTAACGACTAGGACAATAAAATAAGTATTGCTATTTTTCCTCGTCATCCTTCTCACCCTCAACTTCGCTTCGCTTCCGTTTCTGACTCCTTACAGAGGCTAGAAGGTCCTCCATCGCCAGAAGATCACTTCTGCCCCAGGCTCCAAGGCAGAGAAAGGCGCGAATTGTTGATGGTGCGAGTCGGTTGCGAGTAAAGTGAAGGAGCTGCCGAGCCTGTGAGAAGACACGTTCGACCGCAGTTGATGTCGCTGAGCAAGATAATAAGTACTGATTGGTTGAGAGAAGATTCAAGCGTGGCATACCTGGGACGGAGAGATAGTCTAGTACCATCCGATGTAGTGTCGGATAAGTATGGCAGTTGTCTTGCCACCATGCAAGTGGGTCCTTGGTCTTCACAGTCGGTAGTCGAAGGAACTCCTCCAGTTCGCTACTAGTAGTGCGAGACAGAGAACCAAGTGAGTAGTCGCCAAAGTCATCATCATTCTGTATAGTTGTCAATGTCAGCATATGATTAAATGTTGCACACGGACCGCATCTGCTGCAGTGTCATCAGTAGTCTCTGAAGGGTAGGTCATACCCGTCCAAACACCGCCAACCCGCGGTAAAGGGTCGGGGTGTGCTCAAGGGTATGGATATCCTACACCGTACCCGTACCCGCCAAACCCGTTAGCATAGAACCGCGGTGTTACCCGTACCCGTGCGTTTCCCTAATCATGACCTATTTGTACACGTATGATGCAGACGATATCCCAGAAGGCCATGATGGAAGACCATGATGGTACACGATGTAAACTTCCTAAAGAGGTATGGAAAAATCGCCAGGAAAGAGGATGAGGGAGGGGAAGCATCGTAGAAGAGAAATGATTCAACTATGCGAAGCTGGTTGGATGATGATTTTGATGTTTCTTGGAGCAGGTAGACATTCTGAAATGCGTTCTGAGTATGTAGGTGGGTTATGCGAAACCGTAGAGCGCACGTCTTCTGCGCCTCATTCTTTGGACCTAGAGAAATCGTGTTTCTGGGCCGTTGCTGCGCCGGGTGAGGGGCTAGCTTGCGCACCGACTAGCTAACCTTCCAATCGACGCTGAAAAAGACTGGCGCAGGGCAAGGGGTCGAGAGAGAAAAGTCTCGGAGCCCGCAGGAAACAGCAAGACCTTGATGATGATTTGAGTTAGACGCTCAAGCTTTCCAGAACGAAGATTGGGATCAATACCTTCTATGTGGATCACCATCATGCATCATGCATTATCAATACCTGTGGTACGCACGTTGTTCATTACGTCCTTGATTCCCAGCTAAGGACGGCCCTCATCCTGTCTTTGGACTTCTTACCGCTCATCACATATGTTGTATCCCAGTGGTGCAATTTGAAGGTATAGCCGGGTATACCCGCGGGTACACAAACAAGAAACAGTAAGGCCCCGCTCGGGAACTGAGTCCGGTGCGCTTTTGGCTGGTTACTATACACGCCAAACAATAAACTCAACCAATCTCAGGCTGGTCCTCTATATCAAGGTCCATGCAGACGTGAGCAACAAGTTCACGTATTTAGATCAGCTTCGGCATCCTGTTCGGTGGCAGGAGATGCATTATTTTCAACATCGTCATCAATCACTTCTGTTCTGTTCAAGTTGCCACAGGGCCCACATAGAATGTGTCAGAAGTGGTGCGCAGTCCTAAACATGTTGAAATGAGCTCACTAGCGAGAACGACACGACGAAAGTCCGTACGTTACTTTCCTGATCGCAACCTGATCCAAACCGTGTTCGCAGAGTCAATTTGGTGCAGCGCCACCGTCGCATTCTAGAACGCAACTCGACTGACCGAGCAATCTTCAGCTACATTTCACTTGCAAATTGCTCTTATTTTCAGCCGGACATGGCTATACACCACCTGCACCTTCCATGACTTGGAAATCTGACGGTTACGTTGCGTGACTCAGCGGTCTTCGTTTTCATCTCTGAAGCTAATACAGATCAGGAGATATCGCACCAATGCACCCAACAATTGAACACCAGACTACTCACTAAGGAACAATAGTTACTGCGCCTCCGATCTCAAGATAAGCAATGTCCGAAGGTCATCGGCGTCACGGGCCACAGCTTGTATAGTGAAATCACGAAAACTCGTTTCCCATACTAAAGCTCGATAACAAAATTATGTCATATAGTGCGATCTACCGTCGAATTTCCTCACTAGTTCGCTGATGCGGCAGCCACATGCACCAGAGGCTATGGTCATAAGCGAAGAATATTTAATCTGCGTGTCTATAATACGCTGGCCTTCCTGTCTCTGCCTCCCATAATGATGACAGCTTCTTCCAAACCCACAGAAGAAAATTGGCATCCATCCAGCCTTATTGCATATAACACACTCCCGGGTCACCAGGACTTTGACTCGACAATATCTGATGCGAAGCCTACTGCTGATACTAGAACCAATTTCTACGACCGCAGTCTGACGAGTCGCAGATATGCCCTTGTCGGAATGGCATGCTCAAGTATCTTCAGCTGCTTATGCATCATTACAGGTATTGTCACTTTAGCCAATCACGGAAGCATGGGAGTCACCCCGCTCAACATGGTCAATGATGCTGATTCTTCTCAACTGCCGCTGCAGACGGAAATATTGACCCTGATGCTTGACTTAATCGTCACGTTATGTACCGAGTCCATAGGATTCGTACACGGCATCTCATTGCGCTCTGCCCTAGCATCAGAGTCTCGGCTTCGTTTCAATACCAATCTGCGCCTTCTGACCGCAGCTCGTGGATGGCATAACCCTAATGGCGCCCTGCTTAACGGTATTTCGGCTGTCCTCCTCATTATATCCTACAGCTCGGCCTCAGTCGCCATATGTCTGGACCAAAATGCGAATAACTTAGAGACATCATTCCCAACATTTTATGAGGGTATTGCCATCGCAGGAATACCTCTCCTCATATTGGGCGTCGCACTCCTCCTTCAGGTGATGATCGCATTGTCAGCGATGTGGGCGGTCAAAATATTGACATGGAGCTCCTCACCTTTCGACTTGACCGCTGCACTCGTCCACCACACGCAATTGACCCCTGCTACTCTTCGGTGCATGCATTGTGTATCTGACCTAGACACATATGAAGGTCCAGCGAAGCCATCAGAGACACAGCCCTCTGCGTGGCACGCTCACCCTAGCATCCGGAAAGTTGTCATTTTTCTCTGGGTTACCGTTGCAGCATGCGCTGCATGGGCCGCACTCGTCACCGGTATCTCGGACCGTTCTCTGACCCTACAAACGTGGTCGTTCTTCCAAAATTATGACGGCCATTGGATGATATATGAGCTACCGACTGGCAGTCCTGAGGCGGCGTGGATTCTGCTCTTTGTCAACATCGCAACATTCCAGGGACTGTTGACGCTTGTGCTGCATTGCTCGGAGCTCATCGCGAATGTCATTCGAGACGAAAGACAGTGGAGATGCGCTACCAGAAGTCAAGGACTTAGAGTGGCGACGAACTCGTTGCAGCAGATTTTCACTCATCCGCTTTGTCTCGTACTTTTTATCGCGAAGCCTTTCCTGCGTGAGTCATTCACGCCTAGTATTGTGTTGTCAATGTCATTGAACACCGATCACAGACTGGATGTTTGGGCTTTCATTCAACATAATCACAGGCGCCTATAACGAATCCCTATCAGACCGTTTTTCGATATATATGTTCGCTGCCCAGGTTCGCCCTTACTGCCCATGTAAAATTGCTACAACATTCTCACATATTTACAGATCTGGAACTTATGCATTGCGCTATTTATATTTGCCTGTTTCTTCACTTTCGTCGCACTACGCCGACTGTCCGGTCCCCAGCCGGCTGCATATGGCCACCTGCAGACGCTCGCCAACCTCATGGATGAGTGGGCGCCTGTGATGTGGTGGGGACACAAGGAGGATGGAATTCCGTACTGTCATGCTGGTAGGGTACTTGCATGTTCACGATGATGCTGCATTGACACGTTTGAAAAGGAACAAGCGATCACCCGCTGCCGGATGTGAAGATGGACTGCGTGTATGCTGGTTCTGGTGCTGGGTCTCTGGTAGCCCTCTCGTAAAAGGTACTTGACTTACTTTTTAAAGGGAGTGCTCTGATTTCTCTTTTCAAACACAGAAGTATATCCAAGTCAGGCTGGCGATGCATTCACGGTGCACACAATCAGCCATGCCATTGAACGAGAAATACATTTTTATGCTATCTACTACGTTCTAGTTGGTTCTTCCTATACCATTCATACGAGTCTGGGACAACTTTTAGCGGACACTTTCGATTGGACCTTTAAACAATTGTTGAATCATTGTAATTTTGGTAGATCATAACTTAAAATCATGTAGCTGATGGACAAGTTTCCTCACCGGATCGGACCTTACTTACCACATCATCATACGATGAAACCGTTCTGTGAGATTCAATGCCAAGTTTTCACTCGATCCAGAGCGTGTTGCATCATTCAACTACGTAGGGAGCATCAAAGTGTATCTTCTCTCTGACACTGCCCAGGCAAGGATGCCGAGGCGCGCACAATTTCAGCTTGCGAAAGGTGACCCTGACACAGGAATATCTCCCCGTTTGACCCTGAAGCACAAGCTCAGAGGACGATGATGATAACGTTGATATGGAAGAAGGTGAAGACGAACGTCTAGCCTTTGTATTTGCCATGCAATTCAGTCTGCCTACTCAACGTCGACTCCAGGAGCCAATGATCTGCTACTCACCGGCACCCCCATTCAGCCCACCTGCCCATCGCTCGCATCTTTGCGTATGCCACTCATTTCGACACGCACCCCATGGGCCTCAAATGGCTCGACGATGATAACTGAATCCTCGTTTATCAATCAACCACCTCTGCACGTACTGCCATCGGTACTTCCGAAAATCTGCTAGAGTATATTGACGCAAGACGGCTTCGGGATGGCAAAACCCACCCCAATCACCTTATGGCCGCCAGAAGGGCGAACTACCAAGAGCCTGGCTAAAGGCCAAGGGCTGGAAGGTATTATACGTGTGTTAGGATAAGGACGACAACTCACGTAAAGAAGAAAGGCACAAAGGAAAGCAAGTTCTATAAGAGGTATGGAAAAATCGCCAGGAAAGAGCATGAGGGAGAGGAAGCAGCGCAAAAGCAAAATGAACTGTGTGAAGCCGTTGGATAATGGTCTTGATACGTTTCTTGGAGCTGATAGACGTTCCAAAATGCGCTCCGAGTATGTGGCACGTGGGTGATGCAGAGCGCGCACGTCTTCTGCGCCTAATTCTTCGGACTTAAAATTTTGTATTTCTGTGCACGTCGGTGCCCCGTGAAGACTGGCGCAGAGCGAGGGGTCGAGGGAGAAGAGTTCCACCATCCCGTGTTCTTTCGCACCTGGCTAAGCGAAATTTGAAATCCGACAGCCTGGGCCCGGGAAGTGCCAGTCCCCTTCGGTAGCAAACACAGTTCATTGATGTACAGCACTTTGCAAGTTTTATAATAGGATCCAAGTCTAATCATCGTCAATTTCCAGCTGCGAGTCGAAGACTCGAAGTTCGTGGCGCTGTGCCGATGTATGCCCGGACGCAAAATGTGCGTTGCCATTGATCTCACTTCATGGTGCCAGCATAGTTTACTAATCGCCAATTCTTTTGATCATGACCTAATTGTACACGTATGATGCAGACAATCTCAGTAGGCCATGATGGAAGACCGTGATGGTACACGATACGAACTTCCTAAGCAGTATTCCATCTTCCTTCAGGTGGATTCGCAACCTGACCCAAATCGTGTTCGCAGACTCAATTTGGTGCAGCGCCACAGTCGTCGACTGACCGAGCAATCTTCAGTTACATTTCACCTGCAAGTTGCTCTTTCACGATGCTGTCATCAGCTGTACGTGGTGGCTATACACCTGCACCTTCCATGGCTTGGAAATCTGACAGTTACGTTGCGTGACTAAGTGGTCTTCGTTTTTATCTCTGGAGCTAATACAGATGAGGAGATATCGCACCGATGCACCTGAACAACACAGACTACTTACTATAAGGAACCATGCTTACTGCGCCTCCGATCTCAAGATAAGCAATGTCCGAAGGTCATCGGCGTCACGGGCCACAGCTTGTATAGTGGAATCCGTTTCCCATGCAAGACAAATATCTGATGTTCGATAACAAAATTATGTCATATACTTAGTGCGATCTACCGTCTAATCTCCTCACTAGTTCGCTGATGCAGCCACATGCACCAGAGGCTATGGTCATGAGCGAAATATATTTAATCTGCATATCTATGATGCGCTGGCCTTCATGTCTCTGCGTCCTATGGCTTCTCCCAATCGAACAGAAGAAAATTGGAATCCATCCAGCCTTCTTGTATATAACGCACTCCCGGGTCACCAGGACTTTGACTCGACAATGTCTGATGCAAAGCCCACTGCTGATACTAGATCCGATTTCTACGACCGCTGTCTGACGAGTCGCAGATATGCCCTTGTCGGAATGGCATGTTCAAGTATCTTCAGCTGCTCATGCATCATTGCAGGGATTGCCACTTTAGCCAGTCACGGAATCATGGGAACAACCCCGCTCAACATGGTCGGTAGTGACTCGAAGGAGTACTCTGCATTGCCGCTGCTGGCGGAAATATTGACCCTGATGCTTGACTTAATCGTCACGCTATGTACTGAGTCCATAGGCTTCGTACATGGCATCTCATTGCGCTCTGCGCTAGCATCAGAGTCTCGGCTTCGTTTCAACACTAATTTGCGCCTTCTGACCGCAGCTCGTGGATGGTATAACCCTAACGGCACCCTGTTTAACGGTATCTCGGCTGTCCTCCTCATTATATCCTACAGCTCGCCCTCACTCATCGTATTTGTGGAGTTGCAATACGACTTGAAAGGGCCGGATGGGATAGTACAAAATTTCGAGAGCGTCGCCATCGCCGGGTTACCTCTCCTCATTTTAGGCGTCGCACTCCTCCTCCAGGTAATAATCGCATTTTCAGCGATGCGGGCAGTCAAGATCTTGACATGGAGCTCCTCACCTTTCGACTTGACCGCCGCACTCGTCCACCACACACAATTGACCCCTGCTGCTTTCCGGTGCATGCGTTGTGTGTCTGACCTAGACGTTTATGGAGGTCCAGCGAAGCCATCAGAGACACAGCCCTCTGCGTGGCATGCTCACCCTAGCATCCGGAAAGTTGTCATTTTTCTTTGGGTGATAGTTGCAGCATGCGCTGGATGGGCCGCACTCGTCATGTATATTTGGGACCACCTTCCTCACGACGCATATTTCAACAGTCACAATCCTCTTACCCTACAAGGGTGGTCGTTAATCCAAAAACCTGGTGGCAATTACATCGAATATACTTTACCGTTTGGCGGTCTTGGGGCATGGACTCTGCTCTTTGTCAACGTTGCGGGAGTCCAGGGACCGTTGACGCTTGGGCTGCATTGCTCGGAGCTCATCGCAAATGTCATTAGAGATGAAAGACAGTGGAGATGCGCTACCAGAAGGCAAGGACTTAGAGTGGCGACGAACCCGCTGAAGCCCATTTTCACTCATCCACTCTGTCTCGTACTTTTTATCGCGAAGCCTTTCCTGCGTGAGTCATTCACGCCTAGTATTTTGTTGTCAGTTTTATTGAACATCATCCTCCATGATCACAGACTGGATGTTTGGACTTTCATTCGACATATACAAATACGCCGGTGATGGCACCATAGACAATTTTTTGATATATATGTACACTGCCCAGGTTCGTACTCGCTGTATGTAGAATTGTTTCAACATGCTCACACATATTTGCAGATCTGGAACTTATGCATTGCGCTCTTTATATTGGCCTCTTTCTTCACTTTCGTCGTACTGCGTCGACCGTGCGGTCCCCAGCCGGCTGCATATGGCCACCTCCAGACGCTCGCCAACCTCGTGGATGAGTGGGCGCCTGTGATGTGGTGGGGACACAAGGAGGATGGAATTCCGTACTGTCATGCTGGTAGGGTACTTGCATACCCGCAATGATGCTGCATTGACACGTTTGAAAAGGGACAAGCGATCACCCGCTGCCGGATGTGAAGATGGACTGCGTTTATGCTGGTTCCGGTGCTGGGTCTCTGGTAGCCCTCTCGTAAAAGGTACTTGACTTGCTTTTTAAAGGGAGTGTTCTGATTTCTCTCTTCACACAGAGAAGTATGTTCATGTCAGGCTGACGATGTATTCAGGGTGCACACAATCAGCCATGCCATTGAACGAGACATACATTTTCATGCTGTCTACCACGTTCTAGTTGGTTCTTCTTATACCATTCATACGAGTCTGGGACAACTTCTAGCGGACACTTTCGATTGGACCTTCAAGCAATTGCTGAATCGTTGTGATCTTGGTGGATTATGACTTAAAATCATGTAGTTGATGGACACTTTTCCTCACGGGATCTCTGCGCCGGACCTTACCACATTCTCATACGATGAAACCATTCCGTGCGATTCAATGAATTTCAGCTTGTGGAAAGCAACCCTGACACAGAAATCTGTCCCCGTTTGACCCTGAAGCACAAGCTCACAGAGGACAATGATGATAACGTGGATATGGAAGAAGGTGAAGACGAATGTTTAGCCTTTGTATTTGCCATGCAGTTCACTCTGCCTACTCAACGCCGACTCTAAGAGCCAATGCTTTGCTACTCACCGGCACCCCCAATTTCCACCTGCCCATCGCTCGCATCTTTGGGTGTGTCATCCATTTTGACACGTACCCCATGGGCCTTGAATGGCTCGACGATGATGGCTGAATACTCGTTTATCAATCAACCGCCTCTGCACGTACTGCACATTAGTACCTCCAAAAATCTGCTATGAAGGATATGAACGCAGACGGCTTCGTCACGGCAAAACCCATTCCAATTACCGTATGGCCGCCATAAGAGCGAATAACCAAGAGCCTGGCTAAAGGCCAAGGGCTGAAAGGTATCATACATGCTTTGGGATAAGGACGATGACTCACGTACAGAAGAAGGGCACAAAGGAAAGCAAGTTCTATAAGAGGTATGGCAAAATCGCCAGGAAAGATGATGAAGGAGGGGAAGCACCGCAAAAGCGAAATTAACTGTGTGAAGCCGTTGGATGATGATCCTGATGCGTTTCTTGGAGCTGATAGACCTTCTAAAATGCGCTCCGACTCGGAGTATGTAGGTGGGTGATGCAAAAACGTGGGGCGCACGTCTTCTGCCAGTGCACCTAATGCTTCGGGCCTATTTCTGCGCTAAGAGTCCCGAAGACTGGCGCAGAGCGAGGGGTTGAGGGAGAAGAGTTCCAAGCCCACAAAAAAACCTTGAGGATGAGCTAGAGGCTCATGTTTTCCAGAACGAAAATGATACCCTCCATGTGAGTACTTGAGACCAACTTGAGACAATATTAATGAGAAGTCCAGGGCCCGGGGGCGACACTGCCACCGTCCCGTCAGGGTTTGTTCGCTAAGCTCGAAGGTTCGATATTTGAAATCCGACAGCCTGGGCCCGGGAAGTGCCAGTCCTCGACTTCATGGCAAGAAATGACGACAGGTTGGCAGCAAATTTCAGCCCATTGATATACAACAATCAGGCACTTTGCAAGTTTCAGAATAGTATCCAAGGTCAGTTTCCACAACTTTCATGTGTGTTACCATTGATCTCACTTCACAATGCCAGTATAGTTTACTTATCGCCAATTCTTTCTATCGTGAGCTATTTGTACACGTATGATGCAGACAATCCCAGTAGGCCATGATGGACTCGGAAGACCCTGATGGTACATAATACTTCTAAGCAGTGTTCCATCTTCCTTCAGGTGCTGTACGAGACTGTTTCGTCATTTTGAAGGGTATGCTCCTTAGTACATCCTCCAATTTACATACTTATCTGCACAAAGCTGCACAGTCCGAATCATATATCAGATCTAGATGCATGCCATCCGCTGGCCTCGTGTCCTTTTGTGGCTGCGGGATATATAGTACGGCGCAAACATTGCTTTGAGTGGAATGGGCTTAAGCCTCAGTCAACATCGATGTCTTCCTCAACGCAGAACCTCATCCCACAACTTCACCTTGGGAACACATTTGGGGCACTGTTTATTGGGGTCATCTTCGCAGCAATGTTAGTCACCTATCTGTTCACGAACCTTAGTCCAGTCCTGTCGTCCTAACATGTCTCACGGAACAGTCTCTTTGGTCTAAGTAACATTCAAGCTTTCGTCTACTTTCAGTCGCACAAGGGCACCAAGGTATTGTTCCCTAAGTTAGCCGTACGTTGATGCTTCCATCTCTCGGTTCAGTTGTTGATATGACATCAGGTCGTCTCGCTTTGGTATGTCCTCTCCAGTTGCCATTGTCGAACGTGTCAAGTTACGCCCTTCCCTGAAATTTCAGGATATTCGACGCTCTGCACCTGTTCTTGATAGTCCACTGCGTCTATTACTATTTGGTGGTCTACTACGCAGACATCAGTATACTCACAGAAATGGTGTGGAGCTTCAAAGTGAGTTTGTTGAGACCTCCGTGCGGCCTATGATACTGATGGACTCGTGCAGCTTCAAATAGTCATCGATGTGAGTGGTTTTTCTATGCACTGCAATTGCCTACACATCCATTGCAGGTTGTAATCGTCTACGGGGTACATCTGTGAGTTAGAAATGTACTGTTGTCTACAGCTTGAAGGATTAATATGATGCTTTTGTTGGTTCGCAGTCTGTATTTTCATCGCATATGTATATGTATGTGTTTCCTCATCTATCTAATAGGTCTCTACGACTAATGCCATGTATCAGTCGCCAAGGGTCGATCAAGAGTCCTCCCTATAGCAGTGGTGGGTTTAAATCGATGATCACGTATCATGGCATTGATTTTAATGATGTCATATCAGGGCGTAATCGTAATTTCGGGTTCAGGTGAGTTTGTCATTTGATATTCCCCTTCACTGGATCTTGAAAAATTCTCCAGGTGTTGGCATTGGTAAGAGTTCAGAAACTCGGTACTGGTCGGCTCATCATTGTATTTCAATGACAGCCCTTATTTGGGCCCTGTGAGTAAAACAACGTACTCCCTGACTATATGAATTACTGATAGCGAGTAGATACCAGTGTCATATGTTCTCGGATCTGATTAAAATCGAGTGGGCGATATTTATGGCTTTGGGCACGATTGCTTTCGTCGATTTCGTGATAGCATCATCGCTATGCTATCTCCTCGCTATTTCCCGTACTGGATTTTCTAAGTGAGGAGCGGTCTGTTCACGCCGAGGGATTTGACATGCCAACATGGAGTACTTAGCACCGATTCTATGATAACAATGCTCATGGCTTACATTATCAACACGGGCTGTCTGACAAGGTATTCCTCCTTCCCAACTAGCCTACATTTTGACTGATGCTTCATGTAGCGTGTGTTCACTGTCAGTCATAATTACAGTAAGCTTCTAATGATTGTACTCTCGCGTCCATCTCGTCTCTAAAGTCCCTGCAGTACGCAGTGATGCCATACAACTTCATTTTCATCGGCATTGATTTTTTAGTGGCTAAACGTATGACCCAAAGCATTTTCAGAATGTCTTGCTGACCACTGGTCGCTTTTCAGTATACGTCAACTCGTTCCTCGCACTTCTGAACGCGCGATACTTCTCAGAGCCCGCTACAGAAACTGACCGTTCTGCAGAAGTCCATGTGCGCCACAACATCTACCGCCCACTGGCAGAAGTGAACGTCATGGCGTCCCAAGACGAGGAATCCTAGGAATCTCCGGAAAGCATTTTAGACATCCCGGCGGTGATGTTATGATACATCTTACTCGATCTACCATGATCAGTAGCCGCATTATTGGCGATGAATGAGTGCTGATCATCACACTTCAGCCACATCGGCTCATTGAAGTGACGGTAAAAATGAATTCCTTCTTATCAGTTTGATGTATCAGTACTAGTGTGCCTGTATTATGTATCATCCGCCTCTTCATTGTATTAGATTATTGCACAGGAACAAGAATCTACATAGTCCATTATACCTCCGTCTGTGGGTTTTATATATCACTAAGTACTACCTAGAACCACGAGGAACTACTAATTCGTTCGGCATACATGAGTTTCCATGCGCTTAAAATCAACGAGAATCTCGCGCATACCACCAGTGGACTTGCCATTTGCCACGTTGTCCAATACGCCGTGTCTTACACCACCAAGCCACCCATAGATTGTTGTAGACAAAGTCGTTCGCTTTGTATCTGACTGACACCCTCCTCCACTAGTAGTCATTGTGTGATCGAACACATCGAGGAAGAGCATGCAACTAGTCATATTTGAGACGCTTCATATTCTGATATCCTCGATGCTCCATTTGGCACGAAGGTCTACCGTGTAGTCGTCATAATCACCAGCGAGGAACCGATGCATCGAAGCCCATGCAATCATCGCCGCATTGTCTGTATTGGATTTCAAACGCTATAAATCGATCTGCATATTGAAGCACCAACCTGTGCATAACTCCAGCGGGGGGAAATGGAGCGATATGCGCTCATCAGAGCTGTACTCATCCAGCGCTGCTCGGAGTCTACAGAAGCTGAGCACGAGAAAGAAAACAGAGCTTTCAACGCTCACTTTTCGCGTAAAAAGATGTTGCTGGCAACCCCGCCGCTAACGACAACATCCCTGACGATCACGTTTTTCAGCTCGAGCTTTTGAAGGCTCAACGTAAGCTTGGCACAGAGTTGACGAGCTGCGGCTGCCTGGAATGCACGAGCCAAGGCAATTTTATGTGAACTGGATAGAGGTTCTTCCATGAGAGAAATGTAGCGCTCTACTGAAGATTGTAGGGATGCAAAGGAAAAGGCAAGTTTTCCTGGCATTGGGACAGTGAATGGTTGGATGTCGGGTAGGGATTCCAGTTCATCATCTGTCACGCGGCATAGCTCCTCGAGTGCTGCGCCAGGGCCTCTGGTTCCCCAAGACAGGCCAAGTGCTCGGGCTGTTTTGTCAAACGCGCGTCCAATACTCGCGTCTGCTGTTGTTGCAAGGATCTGGAATGAGGTAAGAGATGAAGCTAAAAGTAGAAGCGTATGGCCTCCAGAGATAAGCAATGTCAAGAAAGGAAACTGAGGGAGATCTGAGGTTGGAGTCGTGAGCAGGGGGGTCAAGGCGTGTGCTTGCTGAAATTGAATGAATGAGTGTAGTGCTCAAAAGAAAGTGCATGTACGAACGAACCATGTGATGGACACCGACAAGAGGCTTACCGAGGGCGGCGGCAAGGGACTTTGCGGCATTCGAGCCCACACTAAGGCAGCCTCCGATTCCTACAGACAACTTATAGGTGAGGAACATTTGATGCAGATTGAAGAGAATGCACAGATACCTGGACCTCGCGTAAATGCAATCCCGTCGATGTCGTGAATGCTAATACATGCCTGTTCGAGAGCCATTCTGACAACACCCGGCTAAAGACTTAAGTCAAAGTAAACGATTCGAGAGAAAGGAACGCATTCACCATATTACGCTGGTGTGCTTCAATGGCTACAGATGGATGAATACCGCCGAAACCTTCGTGGCTGGTTGATTTGGGGTCAAACAAACATACGGCTGGACACAGAAGGGACTCACAGATCATGCTGCTTCACAACGACGTTCGAAAGTATTTGACGCGAGGATGTCACGACAGCTGCACAGGTGTCATCCGCTGAACTCTCGAAGCCAAGAACAGTAAATGTGCGCCTTCCGGTACGCGCTTGGAACGTCCTATGCGCTAACAAAATTTTGTTGGTATGGACTCGGAGCGACAAACAATATCAGTTCTTACCAGTAAGAGGAACATCCCTCAGTCGTCGAAGTAATACGACATTCTGTCTGCAAAGCCCACTTCCGAGAATGGGCATGAAAAATGGTGTCGAAAGAGCGTCGTCGGTTTGCTGCTGTTTGTCTACGTCGGTCGCACATTGGATTCTTTGCTTTTGGCTCTCTTCGTAAACATTCGTGACGATGCGCCCGGTGGCAACATTTAACGCGTCGAGGTGCTCGTTGCTATCATGCCCTCAACGCATACCTCCATCCTTTGTCGCGCTGAGATGCGCGCTTCCAGTCCTTGCTCGCCGTGCTAACAGTTCTACTACTGATGAACGAACAGTCAACCAGAGTGTAGCGTTACTTGACTCTATAATGGGGTCTTCCTCGACCCTCGACTTGAAGACTTCATCACTGTCAGATATATTATCTCCCCCCACTCCCCCAACCCAGAATTCAACTCCAGACCCTTCACAAATGCTCATTCCGCCAGCATCCGACCCCCTTCTTCATTTCCTCGCATCTTCCCTGCTTAATCACGGAAAACGTGCGAGAGCAGACCGCGTCGTCTCCCGCACACTCCTTTATATTCACGCTCTTACCCGCGCGCCGCCGCTACCTATCCTCCGCCATGCCCTCATCACTGCTTCCCCTGCTGTCAAGTGCATATCACAGAAGCGCTCAGGAAAGAACGTTGTGAGACCTGCCGCACTTACAGAAAAACAGCGCATAAGGGCGGGTATTCATGCTGTATTGGCTGCTAGCAAAAACAAAAGTGGCAAGACGGTAGAGGAGCGTTTAGCCCGAGAGATTATTGCAGTTGTTAATGGAGACAGCAAAGCTATTGCTGACAAGGAGCTGGCACACAAACAAGCCATGGTCAATAGGTATGTGTAACATTGACGTCGGGTAACTCTTATTGACATATCGCACAGGGGCAACGCGCTCGCCAAGTGAGGACTTGCATGTTTACCGTATTCTCCCTTCCTGTAATGGATCGCCGAATTCAATGCAGTGTAATTGCGTGGCTCTCCAACTTCTTTGATATGATGCAGCGAATACTACACTACTTTCAGTACTTCTGGCATGTTACCGGGCAACAGTGCTCTCCGGTCGGGTTCCTTCTGGTAATCTGCCCCTAACAAAATTGTGGAGCTCTTCACGCACTTGTTAATTAACAGAAGTTCCACGGTGACACGATGTTTGATAAATGATTCATGCTGCTGAAATTCAATACGGCTTTCAGGGTTCTCACTCAGCCAGCACCTAATTGTTGTCTGCTTCTTCATCAAATGTCGCATCCAAAACCAAGTTCTTACTAAGTTGCATTTGAACCAGGATACTTCGACGGTTTTACAGCACTATTCACTCCCGATGCCCAGATGAATTGTTGTATCAAGACCCAATTAGTCCAGAAGACACAAGCAAATCAGACATCCGTGGAACCCAATACACCGTTGGCCACTAGTATTGCCACAACCTCTCGGTCAAGCACATCAGCAGTCCCACCTTGCAAATGTATGTGCTTATCCCTCGTCCTGATCCTCGTTGTATAGAGCCCCAGTCAGCTGCCCTAACCCTCGAATAGCCTTCCGGTACTAGTAATATCCATACAGCGAGGATTAAGGCGAGGACGCTCTGCGATAAGGTATAGAACATACACGATAGTGGTCAAATCAGGAAAAGGTTTTGCCAGTGATCAGTAATTGACGTGTTCAGGGACTCGGAGTATTGGGAGCCAATCTACTTCAGAATGGTAACAGGTCGTCGCTACACACATTACAGCTATTTGCATAATTATGCGGAAACGCAAAAGTTGAATTTGCGTGTCGGAAATGCCCGAGGTAGGACCCCATAAGCACCATCTGAGCGAGAACACACTGCAGACCAATCCCAGTCCAAGGCAGACAGTAGAACATTGTGCTTCCAGTGATGGCTTCATGTGCTTCCATATCCCCTGAGATACCTCAGTTTGAGACTGTCTTTGTTGATACATACGTGAAAAACTTGACAGAACACAATGGCAAAAGGATGTGAAATCTACAAAGATCAAAGAAGTCGTTTTTCTTGTCTCCACACTCAGTTACCTTGACTTCCTTACTACAACTATGCTTGCAAAGCATGTCAAATCACTCTATAGGGTCATCTATACTGAAGTTGCAACGTCGACTATGTCATAGGTCCATGACTCATGCATGTTGGGATGAGGTGGAAGTCAGCCTGATAGTTTTGTATACTAGTGTCTTCTTGATACCAAGCAGATGACAAACACTTGTGACAGAATGGCCACGTTGGTGTAAAACAGGAACGCAAGCTTTTGAAATTTTAGATCTAGTGATGAGACGGTGTGCGGTGGCATGCTGGAGCATGAATGAGTGCACAATTGAGCCAAAGACTTACGGGGTCCTACCTCGGGCATTTCCGAGATGCAAATTCAACTTTCGCGTTTCCGCATAATTATGCAAAGAGCTGTAAATGAGCCGTTTCTACATAGATATCGAGCAAGCATACCATGCTGCGTTCAAGAAAAGGACTAAAAGAACAGTTTTTAACTTTCAACAACACTTACATCCATGAACAAGATCCAGTACCAGCCTACCAATGGTCCGAGGAAACCGCAGACTCTACGTCGACCCTGGTGGTAAGGACATCGGGGCTGGTCTCGGCAGGGTTAGAAAAAACACCAGTGTCGACACATCCGTGGAGGTTGAGCATCAGGCGAGAGATGAGAGTGACAGACATGCTGAGGGTCATGATTAGGATCGTTCTGTGTTTATCCCATCGACTACTCACCAAGTAGTAAATACACTCAGGCTGCCTTTGATGATTCCCTTACAAATCGTCAGGAAATAGTCAACCTGGTGAAACATGCGGATATGCTCACTGAACCACACTAAATCATGGTGTGAGCATGCGACTGAACTATACTTCATATGCTGACTTACGAGGTGCGTCAGAATGTTGGGTAAATTGACTAATGTCATTCCTCTGAGGGAAAGCGGATCAGCTTCACTCGTACAGTTTCGCTAGCACTCTCACACGAAGTACATCACACCTGCGCTCGGTTGGTTCAGTGTTTACAATACCGGTGCGACGAAAAATACCATCTTGGAATATGACATCAAGGATATCTCTCCTGGATAATAGGGAGAACCGCAATCCTCTAGTTTTCCAGGTCCTGAAGACTGTGAGGACAAAGATGAGTAATTCATAGATAAACATTGCCATCCAAGCCATCCCATGACCTGCGATTGGAAAATTCCGTAGTACCATCAATATACATCCAGATATGACTTAGAGTGCACTGACGGACAGTTCTGGCAGGACTTTTGAGCAGGCGTGTCGAATGACGAAGGGAATGACATACGTTGCTGTCGTGTATATTTCATGGCAGTCGCCGGCGTCGACCCCAGCGTCTGAGTCATTTTCAAAAGTTACCGCCTAAAACTTGAAGTTCAGCAGACTCTCAAGTCCAAAATTCTTCGTGAACACGTACTAACGTTCCTGCTATAAGAACAAGTCCGATGATCCCCATCCATTTAAGCAGACGCCTGCTGCGGCCGTAGAGAGCATAAGTGCGAAGAGACAGTGTGACTGAAAATTTGAAACATTCAGCGTGTCTTTCTCGCGATACACTTCTAACTCACGACAAATAAAAATTTGCTGGAAAAAACGTAACACCTGTACGACTAGCAAGTACTTCGAACAGCTAAGCCTTTGTTAAGCAAAATCATAGATATTCAAGAGAATAAAGTTGAAACCTCTGCGGAGATAAAGTGAGCCTGCCAGTCAAATACACGCACAATATTAATGTAGCACCTTAGGTGAAACGGGTAGGAAATTGGTAATTAGGACAACAATATTTCCGAGCACGGCGAGATAGCGATTGACGAGAAATACCACTGCAGATGTTGCTTTCGGGCGACACCAGATCAACATGATTTCTTCTGGGAGGGTCGCCATGTGGTCGTATATCAGGAGACCTAAAGTATTCAGTTATCATCTTGAGAATCAAGATGAAAAGTCGTAGTACTGATTGATGCGAAAAGGATGTACAGGTACACCGACCTGGCAAATTGGAATATTAGTTCGCGATCAGCATACATAGTAAACCAATGGGTTTATCACTCACACCTGCTGCGCTTCCGAGTCAGTAATATACATTAGAAAGACGATATAATGAGAGGAAGGGGTGTTGAGACTTGAGATTGACAGGAACGTTAACGGTTTGATATTGCTGTTATACTGTATAGCCTACCTCCTCCCCAATTATTAATCATCCACCACTAATCCACAGTACCTAGCAAGGGCGGCCACACTCGGTAAACTGGACGGCAATGGGCGGAGAGGGCCTAATCCATCTCCCGTCCATGGCGTTGATCAAGGTCCGAGGCCAAGGGGACAAAATCGACTGTTTCGGTGATACTTGGGCCCAGACTAGTTAGACACTGGAAACGCGGCAGTGCAACACTGAACACTAGCACACTGGTCGGCGGCCGGGAATTCGGAATCGGATAGTGGCATAGTATCGCCTTGTCCGGCTACATCCACCGGCCGATTGCTGGTCGTGTCTTGCACGTTCTGTTGAAAATAATCACAGGTTCTTATACCCTTGGATATAGATTCATTAGAACATGTCCTAAGTATATCAGGCTGGGCACTACCGCCGGCCCAAAAATTACCCAATTTGGTAACAGGTGCGGTGTATGCCCATTGCCTCGTGTATTAGCATCCTGAAGTTCGGCTCATAGCAACTAGTTTTGTTTCAAACAACATGGACAATCTTCCTGACGGGGTCTCTGCTCCAGAGCTTACTACATTGTCATACGATGAATCCGTTCCCTACGAATCACAAGTTCCTACTCATTCATCCAGTGATCCAGAGCGAGCTACATTGCTCAACCGCATAGGGAACACCAAAGTGTACCTTCTCTCTGACACTGCCCAGGCAAGAATTGCCAAGGTGCGCTAATAGTATGTCCATTTCATTTTTCAGAAAATGACTCTGACACGGGAGCCTGTCCCTGTTTGACCCTGAAGCGCAAGCGCACAGAAGGGGAGGACGATGATGATGACATAGATATGGAAGAAGGTGAAGACGAACGTTTAGCTTCATTATTTGTCATGCAACTTACCATCTGCTGCCATCAGAAACAACGTCAAGTCTAAGAGCAAATGCTCTGCTGCTCACCGGTACCCCCATTTCCCACCTGCCCACCGCTCGCATCTTTGCATATGTTACCCATTTCGATACGCACCCCATAGGCCTTGAATGGCTCGACGACAATAGTTGCATCCTCGTTTATGAATCAACCGCGTCTGCACGTACTGCACATCGGTACCTCCAAAAATCTGCCACAGAGGATATGGATGCAGACGGCTTCGTCACGGCAAAACCCATTCCAATTACCTTATGGCCTCCAGAAGAGCGAATAACCAAGAGTCTGGGTAAAGGTCAAGGACTGAAAGGTATCATACGCATGCGTTGGGCCAAGGATGATGATGTAAAGAAGAAGGGCGCAAAAAGGGAAAGCAAATTCTATAAGAAGTATGGAGAAACCGCCGGGAAAGAGGATGAGGGAGGGGAAGCATTGCAGAAAAGAAGAAGAAGAGATGATTCAACTGTGCGAAGCCAGTTGGATGATGACCTTGATGCGTTTCTTGGAGTGGACAAACCCTCCAAAATGCGTTCCGACTACGTGGGCGGGTCACGCAAAACCGCGGAGCGCATGTCTTCTGCGACCAATTCTTCAGACCTAAGAAATCGCATTTCTGCGCCGTTGCCGCGCCGCACGAGGGGCCAGCTTGCGTACCAGCCAACTGATCCGCCGATCGATTCTGAAGAGGACTGGCACAGAGCCAGAGGTCGAGGGAGAAGAATTCCACGCCCACAAAAAACGCAGCAAGACCTTGATGATGAGCTAGACGCTTTCCTGAACGAGAAGGAATAATCCCTGCCACGTCATCGTCTGTGGTACGCACGTTTGCTCATCACGCCTTTCATTCCCTGCTGAGGACGATCCGCATTTCATCATGTCTTGGATTTCTTATTGCTCATTACATGTTCCCAGTGGTGTAAAAACCTTCGCTTACATTGCGTATTGACTGCGTATAATTTATCATGTGGTGCATGTTCTGTGGTGACGTGGTGCGCAGTCGTAGCTCCTACCTGAAGACTGCATGTCGAATACTAAACATGTTCAAATGAGCTCACTAGAACTGTCGAAAGTCCGTTGCTTTCCTAATTGCCGCCTCGCCCAAATCGTGTTCGGCGGATCCCATCAGGATTTCAACTTGGTGTAGCGCCACCGTCGGTCTCCGTCAATATAACTGCGTTCTGGTAATTAATTGAACGCACCTTGGCCGAGCAATATTCAGTGGCAATTGTCCTCATCATGGGCCACGATGTTGACGACGATACCCTGAGCGATCTGGAAGCGGGTCTACATCCCCAACAAGGTCGTACCCAAGATGCGTCCAACTCTGACTCTTGGTTAACCAATATGAAGAGCAGCTTTACGCGACTCCTCGCCCTTGGCATTTTTCAAAACCGAGTTTCAAGCCATCACCATGGTGTACCAAGCTACGCGGAGGATGATGACAACGTTATGCACGCGAATGACGAAGACCTGACCGGGATGAAAATCATGTTTCAAATGGATTCCTTTCCGACCAACTTTGTCACTATGGATTGCAGCAAACAGACCGGAGTGTCTTGTGTCTCCCCCAGCAGTGCAACGCCTCCCACTCATTTCCGTTCTGAATCACCTATCACATCGTCACCATCTGTGACTTCAAGCAATACCCCTCCGCTCACTCCGGATTCTTCTGTTGATATCCTAGATTCCACGTCACTGGAGATTGCCGACACCCAGTCCGGCCTCTCATTTCCTTTGCATAGTATTTCTCACAGGAGTCCGATGTCGTCCCTAGAGCATAGATGTTCCATCAATGATGGGAAAATACCGGAGTGTCCTCAAGTGAGCTGTACTAAAATTATATAACAACCGATTACTTATTTTATTTTAATGAGTGTTTCGACACTCTTGTAGCTGATATCAACTTTCATTCACCCCGAGATGCCCAGCCGCCGTGGCTAGATGACGAATTTGAGGAATGGTACTGGCTTGACTACGATGAAACTTGGTCGAGATCGTCGTTACTCCTCTGAAAGCGAACACCATGCCACCGAAGGGTCTTTCCAGGTAAGTTTATTCTATATATGCACAACTATGGTGCTTGACTTCGTCCCTTTTGTTTAAAAAGAGTGGCGAGTCTTTTATGACACCCTATACATGCAGTGTTTCCTCCGTTTCATACACGGGAAGACGACGAACATTACCGCTGGAAACAGAAACATAGAAGTCGAGACAGAAAGGGAGCGCGCCAGAGAAGATAAACAATATTCAGCCTCCTTCCCAAGTTAGATTATCTTGCTTGGATTGATGCGGGCAGACTCCAAGTCAGTACATGGTAGTAGGTGCGTCCGGTTTGGTTGTTAATGGCTTGGCATGGTTTCGATTCCAGAACACGAACGAGTGTACTGATATTGAGTTGGCAGGAATATCATAGCAATGGACTTGGGTGGAGCTAGGGTGATCCCCTGCGCGTTTGACTCAGACCATGGAACAGTTTTGTTGAATATGTCAATATGGATTGCTGTTTCTGTGATCGTGTCTGATTGGGTGTTGATGAAACGGGCGGTCGTGCCGCAGTAAGCACCATATATTGAAAGTGGTGTATGATATATACGTGGTCTATGTGGTAGATCAAAGGGCTGGGGGCACGCTATATTCGAGATATACTGGAAGGTTGTCGAAGGGATAATTGTAGGCTTTATTAATACGATGGTGTCTACGAGGACCTTAGTAAGCTTGTTAGTAGAGAAAGTAGACCGAGACTCGAATCTCAGTGTTGTAGACTGAAGCACTAAGACACAGATTTGGAGACAGAATAGTGTGGGTGAAAGGTAGTGTATAGGCAAACATAATTGTACCTCGGCGTTGTAGTGAAGAACCAAATATTGTTTCACTCCATGATGATGCACCAGTCTTGTCGTGTGTGAACATTCAAAGTGTTGAAACAGTTGGAACAAACCACTACTAGATACGCACTGGGCTCCAACTTGGACTTTGATGACGCCAGACATAACTTGAATGGACTACTGCATAATTCCGAGTCGACTATGGAATAGACCGAGCTCTTTCGACTTTTCTGCAAAGTAATAAGATTCATATTCAAAATTTATGTACGTCTGGTAGATTGAGGAGTAAAACTTTTCCAGCCTCCTATGACAAGCATGCAAATGTTCTGCGTACGAGAAGATGGGATTCGTCACAGTACTACTTGTTACTGGAGGATCAGACTTAACTTCAGATCAACACGTGACTGAGACGCGTCGCGTCTGTCAGTCGTCAACCTCCTCCTTCTCCCGATATCGCACTGCCGGGTTATTCAAGAACGCAGGGTGAATTGTACCAGAAGCTGGTATCGCCGGGTATCATAGTAGAATCGTGAACAGCGTGTTGGGTTGTCGTTTGATCCTGACATTAGATCTTCAGAGAGAAGTCGATGAATGTTGCAAAATCTGCGGAGAGGAAGATGATCAGCAGGAGCAGACAAGAAGTTGAACAATGCATTCGATAAGGGCCCTCGTACCACTATTATTTGACGATGCAAGATCGTTAGCCACGACGAAGGGTATTGAGACAAAGGTGAGCGTCGATAATGTTCGAAGTCATCTTTCTGTGAGCAGGTAAAGTGGATAGCACCAACAGTGCGTGTCAGTCCAGGGTGAGTGAGTTGGTCGGAGATGCAGGAGGTAATTTGATATAAGTGTACAATCAAGAACAACAGTCAAATTTAAAGACCAACCACAAAGTCGCGCAGACCTATTAAATAGAAGACAGTAACTTGTTCTGTTCAGGAAATCTTGATCGCTAGCAGCATCGTGTTACCTGCATCCACTGGTAGGTGTAGAAATCGAAACGCGCAAGGTTGAAAGATCGCGAAACGAAGGAGGGGCACCTATTAGAAATGGCCAAGATTATCATAGTACTAACGGTGACACTCTAGCACATTGAACTAGAGGAGAATTCTTGATTTGAATTTGAATGAGAATAGATAAGTGACTGGAGATTGGCATGCGATAAAACGCTCTTCCCCATTGACGTGGAAGTCGGGGATCTGGCAGAAGCAGATTTGTATAGCCATCATGCATATGGCTAGTAGCTACAGAACTCAGGAAGAAGAGACCATATGCTTTGTTATCGGGCGTAGCTATTTTGACGCGGTCCTGCCGCGCCTGCCGCGGTCGTGACGCGGCCGTGACGCGGCGTGACGCGCATGTGACGCGGCACTGACGCGGCACTGACGAGCCTTGACGCGGCACTAACGATCCTTGACGCGGCCACTGACGCGCCATTCCTATATTCTACATTTAACTTCCAGATCAAGTTGGATGAGTTCACGACCATTCTTTTGTTATTTTAGTTGCCTCAGAGCCATGTACAACTAGGTATACATAAGCCAATGACTATTTTCTTTTCCTCTCTGGACCCTTCGAGCCTGTGGAGCACATCGACGTTTAACGGGCGGACATTCTTCGGCCGGCAGAGAAGGAACTACAGCTTCGGATAGCTCGTCTGCAGACTCCAAAGATGTAGCATCAGAGTTATCACTGAATAAGGGGCCGCGCTGTCAATCACATAAGTTAGATATCTATCGAACGGAGCAGGTAATGTCTTCCTCACTTCAAGTTCACTCTCGCTATAATCTCTTGCAGAAACCCATTCATCAGGAATTCCGAGATACACATTCCATCGCCTGTGATGTTGGCCAGCATCCAAACCCCACTGCTGGTTGCCTGCAGGTCCCTGCTTCTTCGGAATCCTCGAACATCCTTGCTTCTAGTGCGGTCAGACACTCGAGGTCGACATCAGCCACGAAGCTATTGGTAGGATAGCTTATCATGAGATCAGCCCAAGCCATCTTCAACAGCATGCTATCGTTCCATTCTTCGTTTCGAGCTTCGACGCGTTTTTCAAAATCACTGGCCTTTCGATGAGCAACCACGAGAGTGAAAGCATGCACCAAAGGCATGCCACCAAGCCATTTTTCGACTTGACCGGAAGCACCAGGAACATTCTCCGAGAACCAACGTGCAATTTTGGCATACTCGTGAGATGAGATGTCACCACAAAACGGTATGCTGTATGCACCCACACCATCTGGCTTCTTCTTCGATCGCAAGATGTAGTCTATCACGGGGTATGCCTCCGCATCATATTGGTTCAAGTCTGGACTGTCAAGTCCGTGCAGAGTTCGAATAACTCCTGTGAGTGGTGTTTCATGTGTTGAGGGAGGGGTGGTGGATTCGGGACGGAGTGTGCAGGGTCATGTGATGGCTGAGCGGTCTGCACGGAGGCCGGAAGATAAGCTATTACATTGCCTGTTCTATGTTCACAAGGAGAATATGTCGGATGACGCACCTGAACGGTCATAGCAGGGTATGAGGTCCCCAAAACTCAGCAGCGGACCCGGCCGATCTGGATCATTTTGATTCTCTGTCTCGTTGGGATAGAAAAAGTTGAATATATGTTTGATTAATTGCTAAAAGATGATTATAACAAGTTTACTCCGTATTTTAAAGAACTCACAAAGGCCATGATACGATTCACAAAAGCGCGATAATAAGGGTTGTTTCTCGAGCCCAGAGGAGACAACGAAAGAATGCTTAGTAAAATAAATTTATTACTGCCTATGGACAATTACAGTGTACGACGTCTAATTCTGTCAGGATGAAAAGGAACACTGTTAGAATATCAATTATTATGACAGATGTAAAGTAAAATATACCTAAGTTATATGGACAGTGTGACAGTTGAGGTGGTGAGGTTTGACGCGGCATGTGGAGGTGGTGAGGTCTGACGCGGCATGAATGAAGTTTGACGCGGCAGTGACGCGGCGTGACGCGCGGGTGACGCGGCAGTGACGAGGTTTGACGCGGCGTGACGCGCCTGTGACGCGGCACTGACGCGGCATGGAGGAGGTTTGACGCGGCACTGACGCGCATGTGACGCGGCAACTGACGCGGTATGTGCTATGGTTGACGCGGCACTGTAGTAGACCTTGACGCGGCATAGAGTGTAGATGTTGATATTAGTACAGAGACTGCGAAGATATTTGGGAGAACTTGTCGTGGTGTGAGTAGTGCTTGACGCAGCCTAAACGAGGCTTCTGACATGCCATGGTTGGGGCTCGACGTGTTGGTGCAGGGTATAGAGAGGGGATCAAACTTGGCAGGGTGAGGTCGAAGCTTGACGCAGTGAGACAACATTTGACACTGCATCTGAAAACCAACATAGATGAACGAATTAGAGGTAATGCAACAATATAGGACTGACGCGCAAGATGCATACTAGTAGTATGAACGCAGAGGACAAGCACTGTAAATTTGGTGAGAGGTGAATACAGCACTATAGAGCCTGTACGCAGGCAGACACTCATATGTTGATCATTAACGATGATTCAAAGTGTTTGGAATGCGATATGAAGTTGTGTAAACATGATCTGTACATAGGAATTTGTTACAGTGCCGCGTCACATATGCCGCGTCAGTGCCGCGTCACAGGCGCGTCACGACCGCGGCAGGCGCGGCAGGGCCGCGTCAATTTCACCTGGCCCTTTGTTATCATTATGTAATAACAGCATCACGCCTCCATTGAAACTCAGCAATCAGAATATCAGAGCGGCCTCGGCCTCAATGATCCTTGATTATTGCTTTTCTCGATTGACAGGCAACAGCCAGTCTGTGCACGGACATGTGTGCAGTACATTACAAGGAGGCAAGCTTTAACAGGCTTTCAATGATCACCATCCTGACACTGGTGCACTTTCAGTATTCAGGTTCAAGTTGCTGCACTGCGGCAATGTAAATCAACGTTGCACAGGATAGATATCAATACTGTGGCACATCACTGTTCTTCTATCACGAAGTGATCTGCACCAGAAGCTACGGTCATGAGCGAAAGATATTTAATCTGCATGTCTATAATGCACTGGCCTTCCTGTCTCTGCATCCCATAGCTTCATCCAATCCGACAGAAGAAAATTGGAATCCATCCAGCCTTCTTATATATAACACACTTCCAGGTTACCAGGACTCTGACCCGACAATATCTGATGCGAAGCCCACTGCTGATACTAGAACTGATTTCTACGATCGCAGTCTGACGAGTCGTAGATATGCCCTTGTCGGAATGGCATGTTCAAGTATCTTCAGCTGCTCATGCATCATTACAGGGATTGTCACTTTAGCCAGTCACGGAATCTCGGGTGTAACCCCACTCGGCATGACGATGACCGATCCTTCTGGAACGCTTCCTCCTCAACTTTTGCTGCAGGTGGAAATATTAACCCTGATGCTTGACTTAATCGTCACGTTGTGTACCGAGTCCATAGGCTTCGTACACGGCATCTCATTGCGCTCTGCGCTAGCATCAGAGTCGCGGCTTCGTTTCAACACCAATCTGCGGCTTCTGACCGCAGTTAGTAGATGGTATAACCCTAACGGCACCCTTTTTAACGGTATCTCGGCTGTCCTCCTCATTATATCCTACAGCTCGGCCTCAGTCGTCATATCTACGAACACAAATGCCCTGGGCGTTGTGCTATATGGGAGTACTATTGCCATCGTAGGAATGCCTCTCCTCATTTTGGGCATCGCACTCCTCCTCCAGGTGATTATCGCATTGTCAGCGATGCGGGTTATCAAAATCCTGACGTGGAGCTACTCACCTTTCGACGTGACCGCCGCACTCGTCCACCATACACAATTGACCCCTGCTACTTTCCGGTGCATGCGTCGTGTGTCTGACCTAGACACGTATGGAGGACCTGCGAAGCCACCAGAGACACAGCCCTCTACGTGGCATGCACACCCTAGCATCCGGAAAGTTGTCATTTTTCTGTGGGTTATTGTTGCAGCATACACTGGATGGGCCGCACTCGCCATGTATATCAGTAACCGGTTCTCTGCCGGTTCTGGATCTGTTCCTCTGACCCTACAAACATGGTCATTCTTCCAAAATTGGGATGGCGATTTCCTCACGTATGGTCTACCGAGTGGCAATCTTCATGGGTGGATTCTGCTCTTTGTCAGCATTGCGGGAGTCCAGGGACCGTTGACGCTTGGGCTGCATTGCTCGGAGCTCATCGCAAATGTCATTCGAGACGAAAGACAGTGGAGATGCGCTACCAGAAGCCAAGGACTTAGAGTGGCGGCGAACCCGCTGAAGCACATTTTCACTCATCCGCTCTATCTCATACTTTTTGTCGCGAAGCCTTTCCTGCGTGAGTCATTCACGCCAAGTATTTTGTTGTGAGTGTTATTGAACACCGATCACAGACTGGATGTTTGGGCTTTCATTCGACATACGCACATACGCCATTAACGACACCCTAGGCTTTTTATCTATAAGTATGTTCACTGCCCAGGTTCGTACTTACTGTATGTAAAATGGTTTCAACATGCTCACACATATTTGCAGATCTGGAACTTATGCATTGCCCTCTTTATATTTGCCTCTTTCTTCACTTTCGTCACATTGCGCAGACCGCACAGTCCCCAGCCAGCTGCATATGGCCATCTGCAGACTCTCGCCAACCTCGTGGATGAGTGGTCGCCTGTGATGTGGTGGGGACACAAGGAGGATGGAATTCCGTACTGTCATGCTGGTAGGATACTTGTATGTTCACGATAACTCGGATGCTGCATTGACATTTTTTAAAAGGGACAAGCGATCACCCGCTGCCGGATGTGAAGATGGACTGCGTTTATGCTGGTTCCGGTACTGGGTCTCTGGTACCCCTCTCGTGAGAGGTACCTGATTTGCTTTTTAAAGGAAATGTCTTGATTTCTCATTTCAAACAGGGAGCTATATTCGCATCAGGCTAATGATACATTCACGGTGCACGCAACCAGCTATGCCGTTGAACAAGACATACAGTTTTCATGCTATCTACTGCGTTGTTGTCGGTTCTTCTTGTTCTTATACCATTGATACGAGTCTGGGACACCTTTTAGCGGAGACTCAATCGATTTGACCTTCAAGCAATAGTTAAATTATTGTAATTTTGGTAGATGTGACTGATAACTTGGAATCATGTAACTGATGGACACTTTTTTCTGATGGTATCTCTGCGCTGGGCCTTGCTATATCGTTATCTGATGAAACCGTTCCATACGAATGTTGAATTCCTGCTCATTCATCCAATGATCGAGAGCGAGCTACACCGTGAGTACTCAACCACATAGGGAATACGAAAGTGTACTTTCTCTCGAACACTGATCATGCAAGGATTAGCAAGGTGCGCTAACAGTACGTCAATTTCAGCTTTCAGAAAGCGACTCTGACATGGTGAATCTGTCTCTGTTTGACCCCGAGCGTAAGCGCATAGAGGTGACGATGATGACGACGATGTAGATATGGAAGAAGGTGAAGGCGGACGTTTAAGTTTTGTGTTTGCCATGCAACTCACTCTCTGCCTACCCAACGTCGACTCTAAGAGCCAATACTCTGATGCTCGCCGGCACCTCCATTTGCCACCTGCCCACTGCTCGCATTTTTGCATATGGCACCCATTTCGACATGCACCCCATGGGTTTTGAATGGCTCGACGACGATATCCGAATCCTCGTATATGAATCAACTGCCTCTGCACGTACTGAACATTGGTACTTCCAAAACTCTGCTATGGAGGATATGGATGCAGATGGCTTCGTCACGGCAAAACTCATTCCAATTACTTTATGGCCGCCAGAAGAGCAAATAACCAAGAGCCTAGGTAAAAATCAGGGACTCAAAGGTATCAGACGCATGCGTTGCCAAGGCCAAGGACGATGATATGAAGAAAAAGGGCGCAAAGAAGTTCTAGAAGAGGTATGGAGAAACCGCCGGGAAAGAGGACGAGGGATGGAAAGCATCGCAGAAGAGAAATGATTCAAGTGTGCGAAGCCGGTTGGATGATGATTATGATATGTTTCTTGGAGCCGATAGACATTCTGAAATGCGTTTTGAGTATGTAGGTGGGTCATGCGAAATCATAGAGTGCATGTCTTCTGCGCCTGATTCTTCGGACCTCGAAAAAGCGCATTTCTGCGCCATTGCCGCGACGCGTGAGGGGCTAACTTGCGCACCGACTAGCTGACCTGCCAATTGACGCTGAAAAAGACTGGTGGGGAGCAAGTGGCCGAGAGAGAAGAGTCTCACGCACACAGGAAAGACCTTGATTTAGACGCTCAAGCTTTCCAGAACGAAGATTGGATCAATACCTTCTAAGTATGTGGGTCACCATCATGCGTCATGCATCATGCGGGATTATCCGTGGTATACGTTGCTTATTACGTCCTTGATTCCTACCTAACGACAACCCTGTCTTTGAACTTACTGCTCATCACATATCCCAGTTGGTATAGCACGCCGGACATACCCGCGGAAGAAATGTTAACCTCACCCAACACTCTCGTGACTCGTCCTCTCTACTGATTGAGGTCCACGCAGACGCGAGCAATAAATTCACGTACTTAGACCAACTTCGACATCCTGCTGCACCACCGTCGCATTCTAGAACGCAACTCGACTGACCGAGCAATATTCAGTTACATCTTGGTCTTTCACGATACTATCATCAACTGTACGTAGTGGCTATACACCTGTACCTTCCATGGTTTGGAAATCTGATGGTTACGTTGCCTGTCTCAACGGTCTTCGTTTTTATCTTGGAGCTAATACAGATGAGGAGATATCGCACCGATACTATCCAACAATTGAACGTTAGAACACCAGACTACTTACTAAAGAACAATGCTTACTGCACCGCCCGTCGACTAGATCTCAAGATAAGTTGCAATGTCCGAAGGTCATTGGCGCCACCGGCCACAGCTTGTATAGTGAAATCAGGAAAACTCGTTTTTCACACAAGACAATTATCTGATGCTCGATAACAAAATTATGTTAGTTAGTGCGATCTATTGTCTAATCTCCTTACCAGTTCGCTGATGCAGCCACATGCACCAGAGGCTATGGTCATAAGCGAAAAATATTTAATGTGCGTGTCTATAATACGCTGGCCTTCCTGTCCCAGCCTCCCATAATGATGGCAGCTTCTTCCAGACCTACAGAAGAAAATCCGCATCCATCCAGCCTTCTTGCATACAATGCACTCCCGGGTCACCAGGACTTTGACCCGACAATAGCTGATGCGAAGCCCATTGCTGATACTGTAACTGAGTTCTACGACCGCAGTCTGACGAGTCGCAAATATGCCCTTGTCGGAATGGCATGTACAAGTATCTTCAGCTGCTTATGTATCATTACAGGTATTGTCACTGTAGCCAGTCACGGAATCATGGGAGTAGCCCCACTCAGCATACCAGTAACCGTGGTCCTAAAGCCTGACGGCCCCATTCTTAATAATTTTGGGTTTCCTCAATCGCCACTGCAGGCGGAACTATTGACCCTGATGCTCGACTTAATCGTCACGTTATGTACCGAGTCCACAGGCTTCGTACACGGCATCGCATTGCGCTCTGCGCTAGCATCAGAGTCTCGGCTTCGTTTCAACACCAATTTGCGCCTTCTGACCGCAGCTCGTGGATGGCATAACCCTAATGGCGCCCTGCTTAATGGTATCTCGGCTGTCCTCCTCATTATATCCTACAGCTCATCCTCACTCATCGTATGTGTGGACCAGCGAGTCCCATATGAATTCACGGATGGATCCATCATACAAGGGAGTGGGAGTGTCGCCATCGCAGGAATACCTCTCCTCATTTTAGGTGTCGCACTCCTCCTCCAGGTGATCATCGCATTGTCAGCGATGCGGGCTGTCAAAATATTGACATGGAGCTCCTCACCTTTCGACTTGACCGCCGCACTCGTCCACCACACACATTTGACCCCTGCGACTTTCCGGTGCATGCGTCGCGTGTCTGACCTAGACACGTATGGAGGACCAGCGAAGCCACCAGAAACACAGCCCTCTCCATGGCATGCTCACCCTAGTATCCGGAAAGTTGTCATTTTTCTGTGGGTTATTGTTGCAGCATACGCTGGATGGGCCGCACTCGTCATGTATATCTGGAACCACCCTTCTGTCAACATGCTGATCATGGTTATTCCTCTGACCCTACAAACGTGGTCGTTCTTCCCAACATGGGATAGCAATTTTATCATGTATTTTATGCTAGGTGTCAACCTTAAAAGGTGGATTCTACTCTTTCTCGACATTTCGGTTGTCCAGGGATCGTTGACGCTTGGGCTGCATTGCTCGGAGCTCATCATAAATGTCATTAGAGACGAAAGACAGTGGAGATCCGCTACCACAAGGCAAGGACTTAGAGTGGCGACGAACCCGCTGAAGCCAATTTTCACTCATCCGCTTTGTCTCATACTTTTTATCGTGAAGCCTTTCCTGCGTGAGTCATTCATGCCTAGTATTTTGTTGTCAGTGTTATTGAACACCCCGTGACCACAGACTGGATGTTTGGGCTTTCATTCAACATAGACTCACTCGTCATTGACGAGACCCTCGAAGATTTTGCGATAAGTATGTACACTGCCCAGGTTCGCTTTTACTACCCACGTAAAATTGTTACAACATTCTCACACATATTTGCAGATCTGGAACTTATGCATTGCGCTCTTTATACTTGCCTGTTTTTTCACTTTAATCTCACTGCTCCGACCACACGGTCCCCAGCCAGCTGCATATGGCCACCTGCAGACGCTCGCCAACCTCGTGGATGAGTGGTCGCCTGTGATGTGGTGGGGACACAAGGAGGATGGAATTCCGTACTGTCATGCTGGTAGGATATTTGCATGTTCACGATGATGCTGCATTGATACTTTTAAAAAGGGACGAGCGATCACCCGCTGCCGGATGTGAAGATGGACTGCGTTTATGCTGGTTCCGGTCCTGGGTCTCTGGTACCCCTCTCGTAAGAGGTGCTTGATTTGCTTTTTAAAGGGAGTGCTCTGATTTCTCTTTTTAAACAGAGAAGTATATCTATGTCAGGCTGGTGATGCATTCGCGGTGCACACAATCAGCGAACGAGACGTACAATGTTCATGCTATCTACTGCGTTCTAGTTGGTTCTTTTTCTTATACCATTCATACGATTCTGGGACAACTTTTAGCGGGGACACTTTCGATTGGACCTTCAAGCAATCGTTGAATCATTGTAAATTTTGTGGATTATGACTTAAAATCATGTAGCTGATGGACACTTTTCCTGATGGTATCTCTGCGCCGGACCTTACTTATATATCGCTAGTTGATGAAACCGTTCCGTGCGATTCGATACCAAGTTTCACTCGATCCAGAGCGTGCTACACCATCCAATCACGTAGGGAGCATCAAAGTGTACCTTCTCTCTGACACTGCCCAGGTAAGGATGCCAAGGCGCGCGCAAATTCAGCTTGCGGAAAGTGACTCTGATACAGGAATCTGTCTCTGTTTGACCCTGAAGCACAAGCTCACGGAGGATGATGATGATATGTTTAGCCTTCGTATTTGTCATGTAACTCACTCTCTGCCTACTGAACGTCGACTCTGAGAGCCAATGCTCTGCTGCTCACCGGTACCCCCATTTCCCACCTGTCCATCGCTCGCATCTTTGCATGTCACCCAATTCGACACGTCCCTCATGAGCATGGAATGGCTCGGCGATGATAGCTGAATCCTCGTTTATCAATCAACCGCCTCTGCACGTACTGCCATCGGTACTTCCGGAAATCTGCTATGGAGGATATTGACGCAGACAGTTTCAGGATGGCAAACCCCACCCCCACCACCTTATGGCCGCCAGAAGGGCGAAAAACCAAGAGCCTGGCTAAAGGCCAAGGGTTGAAAGGTATCATACATGCATTGGGCTAAGGACGATGACTCACGTAACGAAGAAGTGCACAAAGGAAAGCAAGTTCTATAAGTGGTATGGAAAAATCGCCAGGAAAGAGGATGAGCATCGCAAAAAGAAATTAACTGTGTGAAGCCGTTGGATGATGATCTTGATGCGTGTCGTAGAGCTGATAGACCTTCCAAAATGCGCTCCGAGTATGTAGGTGGGTGAGTAAAACCGTGGAGCACGTCTTCCGCGCCTCGGCCGCCTCATTCTTTGGACCTAAAAAATCGCATTTCCGCGCACATCGTTGCTGTGCCGCGCGAAGACTGGCGCAGAGCGAAGGGTCGAGGGAGAAGAGTTCTACGCCCACAAGGAAACGCAGCAAGACCTTGAGAAGAGCTAGAGGCTCAGGTATTCTAGAACGAGAATGATACGTTCTATGTGAGTCACCATCAAATGCAGAATGCATTATCTGCAGTACGCACGTTGTTGATTACGATCATGTTTCCCAGCTAAGGACGACCCTCGTCGATGCTGTCTTTGTACTTCTCATCAAAGATGTTTGTATACGTAGCAGATCCCAGTAGGTGTAACTTGCCTTGCGCACGTGTTTAAAGTTTATTATGTTGCAAATTGTCTGCACGTCACTTTCCTCGATCGATCGCCAGCCGGTGCACCGCCACCTGGGGCAATTCCTGGAATTCAACTCCGAGTCGACTGACTGATGGGCTCCAGTTACTGTGAGTTGCTCTTTCATTGTTTCACAACACCATTACTATCAGCTGTACATGGCTATACACCACCTTCTATGGCCTGGAAATCTGACGGTGGCTGAGCGATCTTCGTTTTCATCTCTGGAGCTAATACAGATCAGGAGATATCACACCGATGCAGAAACAACAGACTACGTACTAAGGAACAATATTGCTTACTGCGCCCCCCGATCTCAAGATAAGCAATGTCCGAAGGTCATTGGCGCCACCGGCCACACCTTGTATAGTGAGATCAGGAAAACTCGTTTCCCATACAAGACAATATTCTGATGCTCGATAACAAAATTATGTTAGCTAGTGCGATCTACCGTCTAATTTCCTCACCACTTCGCTGATGCAGCCACATGCACCAGAGGCTGTGGTCATAAGCGAAAAATATTTAATCTGCGTGTCTATAATATGCTGGCCTTCCTGTCCCAGCCTCCCATAATGATGGCAGCTTCTTCCAGACTGACAGAAGAAATCCGCGTCCATCCAGCCTTCTTGCGTACAACGCACTCCCGGGTCACCAGGACTTTGACTCGACAATATCTGATGCGAAGCCCACTGCTGATACTGGAACCGATTTCTACGACCGCAGTCTGACGAGTCGCAGATATGCCCTTGTCGGAGTGGCATGTACAAGTATCTTCAGCTGCTTATGCGTCATTGCAGGGATTGTCACTTTAGCCAGGCACGGAATCGCGGGAGTAACCCCACTCAGCATGGTGGCAGTACCCCCGACGGCCGATCCTTATGAACTTCCTTCTCCTCAACTTTCTCGGCAGGCGGAAATCTTGACCCTGATGCTTGACTTAATCGTCACGTTGTGCACCGAGTCCACAGGCTTCGTACACGGCATCTCATTGCGCTCTGCGCTAGCCTCAGAGTCTCGGCTTCGTTTCAACACCAACCTGCGCCTTCTGACCGCAGCTCGTGGATGGCATCACCCTAATGGCGCCCTGCTTAACGTTATCTCGGCTGTCCTCCTCATTATATCCTACAGCTCGCCCTCACTCATCGTATGTGTGGACCAAAATTACACAGAGACATTTGAAGCAGTTGTTAGTGAGGGTATTGCCATCGCAGGAATACCTCTCCTCATTTTGGGCGTCGCACTCCTCCTCCAGGTGATCATCGCATTGTCAGGGATGCGGGCGGTCAAGATCTTGACATGGAGCTCCTCACCTTTCGACGTGACCGCCGCACTCGTCCACCATACGCAATTGACCCCTGCTACTTTCCGGTGCATGCGTCGTGTGTCTGACCTAGACATGTATGGAGGACCAGCAAAGCCACCAGAGACACAGCCCTCTGCGTGGCATGCTCACCCTAGCATCCGGAAAGTTGTCATTTTTCTGTGGGTTATTGTTGCAGCATGCGCTGGATGGGCCGCGCTCGTCATGTATATCAGCACCCGTTTCTCTGCCGGTTATGGTTCTGTTCATCTAATCCTACAAACGTGGTCGTTCTTCCAAAATCCTGATGGCAATTACATTGCATATGGTGTACCGAGTGCCGGTATTGAGTGGTGGATTGTGCTCTTTGTCAACATTGCAGCAGTCCAAGGACCGTTGACGCTTGGGCTGCATTGCTCGGAGCTCATCGTGAATGTCATTCGAGACGAAAGACAGTGGAGATCCGCTACCAGAAGCCAAGGACTTAGAGTGGCGACGAACCCGCTGAAGCCCATTTTCACTCATCCGCTTTGTCTCATACTTTTTATCGCAAAGCCTTTCCTGCGTGAGTCATTCACGCCTAGTATTTTGATGTGAGTGTTATTAAATACCGATCACAGACTGGATTTTTGGGCTTTCATTCGACATAGCCCCAGACGTCTCTGACGACACCCTAGACTATTTTATGATATTCATGTACACTGCTCAGGTTTGTACTTATTGTATGTAAAATTGTTACAACATGCTCACACATTCTTGGAGATCTGGAACTTATGCATTGCGCTCTTGATACTTGCCTGTTTCTTCACTGTGATCGCACTGCGCAGACCGCACGGTCCCCAGCCAGCTGCATATGGCCACGTCCAGACGCTCGCCAACCTCGTGGATGAGTGGTCGCCTGTGATGTGGTGGGGACACAAGGAGGATGGGATTCCGTACTGTCACGCTGGTAGGATATTTGCATGTTCACGATGATTCTGCATTGACACGTTCGAAAAGGGACAAGCGATCACCCGCTGCCGGATGTGAAGATGGACTGCGTTTATGCTGGTTCTGATGCTGGGTCCCTGGTACCCCTCTCGTGAGAGGTACTTGGTTTGCTTTGTAAAGGGAGTGCTCTGATTTCTCTTTTTAAACAGATAAGTATATTCATGTCAGGCTGGCGATGCATTCACGGTGCACACAATCAGTAATCCCATTGTACGAGACATACGACTTTCATGCTATCTACTGCGTTGCAGTTGGTTCTTTTTTCTTCCATTCATACGAGTCTGGGACAACTTTTAGCAAGGGCACGTTCGATTGGACCTCTTAGCAATTGTTGAATCATTGTAATTTTGGTGGATTATAACTTGAAATCGTGTAGCTGATGGACAATTTGACTGGCATCTCTGCGCCGGACCTTACTACGTTATCATACGATGAAACCGTTCCATACGAATGTCAAGTTTTCACTCATGCATTCAATGATTCAAAGCGTGCACCATTCAACTACGTGGGGAGCATCAAATTGTACCTTCTCTCTGACACTGCCCGAGCAAGGATGCCAAAGCACGCACAATCTCAGCTTGCGGAAAGTGACTCTGACACGGGAATCTGTCTCTGTTTGACCCTGAAGCACAAGCTCACAGAGGACGACGATGATAACGTCGATGTGGAGGAACGTGAAGACGAACGTTTAACGTCTAGCCTTTATTTACCATGCAACTCACTCTCTGCCTACTCAATGTCGACTCTGAGAGCCAATACTCTGCTACTCACCGGCACTCCCATTTCCCACCTGCCCATCACTCGCATCTTTGCATATGACACCCATTTCGACACACGCCCCATGGGCCTTGAATGGCTCGACGATAGTAGTTGCATGTGAATCTACAGCAACAAACAAATGTACGAGGAGGATGGTGCTAGTAAGACACGGAAACAACTTGAAAGAAGCATACGTGATGGAGAGTGCGAGCGAGCAGCACGCAAGGTGTGAAGAGGTGGTGTGGGCGTACGATAAACATACGGTGGCTGCGCGTCTCTTTCCACTGAGTTTGTTGAACCCGGAATAGCGTTGATCGTATCGAACACACGGTCAAAGATGCTTTCGGATGAGTCTGTAGAAGAGAGGTGATTGCGGTCTCTTGACAGAGATCAGCTATTCCCATTTCTGGGGATGTCTGTGTTCACAGAAAAATCGGACACTCCCATTGGGTCAAACCTCCTCGTGGAAACCGAGAAGGCGACCCAGAACTGTTGGGTGTGAACGGTCTTGAAGGAAGATCGTCAGTTTGACCAGAGGACAAAGGGCTGGAAGATTTGTTCAATGAGGACGCCTCAAACGAGCAGCGGCAGTCAAACTCGAAATGTCTGAACTGTCTCGAGGAGGTGAGTCAAACAATTGGGAACAAAGATGCGCCCTGGCGTTGGTACAGCGATGTTCCGCGGCACTCTCTGGCATCAACGAGTTGCTGGACACTGTCGTAGCGGGTGCATACAAGTGGGAACAAAGATGCGCCCTGGCGTTGGTACAGCGATGTTCCGCGGCACTCTCTGGCATCAACGAGTTGCTGGACACTGTCGTAGCGGGTGCATACAAGTGGGAACAAAAGCGGTAGCTCGTGATGGATGGAGTCCTCCGAGTCTTTGTTGAGACATGCTAATTAACGATCAAATGACAATTCTGTTTCATTGGAATCTTCAACTGCCTGGTCGCTGGAAAATGGAGGAAAAGCTTCTGAGAGAGACGATAATTATAAACAACAGGAAAAAATAAACATAAAAGCTATACCTGAGTTACGCGAGCGCCTGATAACTGTTCTAGGCGCAGAAAAACCTGGTATCTGTCGAAGGTGATAAGCAATGGTCCTGGATTGTATTCGAGGTACCCCGGTGTCGTTCCTCGTCAACACTGAACAGCGGAGAAGTGAGAAATGGAGTCTCAAGCACTAGAACAAATAGCAGTTTTTAATCAACATGATCATCACTTGCCTGGAACAACGCACAGGCTAGTATGCATGCAAGAATGTAATCTACATGTTGGGGCGGCCGCCGCCGCGCCCTCATAGAACATGAATTAATACTCCACCTGTCTCGATATCCCTCGATCTGCCTCTTGTGTGTTTTCACTGGGAGACTTGTGCTCGGGATGTGTAGTGTCGTGCACCCGGTTTTGTTGTCCCAAGCTACCTCACTCGACTCTCGAGGATTTCGAGTGTCAGGCTTTTGCAGCCCACTGAGTCTGTGCTTCCGAAGTTCCGATCGACATTCTGAGGTCACGTGACTCGGAACACGTATACTATATGCCGCTTGCGCAAGAAACATTTAAATCAAATCCAGAGCAATTTTGACACTCAGCAGACGCCGAGACACGCACATCAGTAAAGCCGTACTAACATGACCGAACCCCCTCCCCAAACTGGCGATACTCTCATCTCACAGTATGGGATTTTTTATGCCCGCAAAACAATAGGTTATGTAATCAGACGGGCTTGTTGTCACTCCAGCATACGAAGTCTCTAGTAAGCGCGCAAACCACGCGAGCTAGCGAAACCCTTCCCCCACCGTCGTCCCTTACTTAATAGATGGAACCTGAGGGGTTCGCTGGTCCGCAGGTAGTCCAGCCTTTGACGCCTGAGGCGCTGGCAACATTCAATGCTGCGCAAGCCCGCACTGGCGTAATCTACATCTCACGAATACCTCCTGGTATGCGTCCTGCAAAAGTACGACATTTAATGAGTGCCCATGGTGAAGTGGGGAGGGTTTATCTCCAACAAGAAGGTGCGTCTGCTCTTCACCATGCTATTACACACTAATTGGATTTTTGTTAAGACGCCAAACGTGCATACCTCCGCCGAAAGTTTACGTCCACCAAAAAGCCGCATTTCATTGAAGGCTGGGTGGAGTTCAAAGATAAAACGGTCGCAAGATCTGTAGCTGAGATGCTGAACGCGCAGCCGATCGGCGGCAAGAAGGGCACTCGTTGGCGAGATGATGTGTGGACTATGAAGTATCTCCCAAAATTTAAATGGAACATGTTGACTGAGCAAATAGGTGCGTGTTTTCACTTCATCCATGAACACGCGGGACACTCATTGCAACCTCAGCACATGAAGCTGCTATCCATACTGCTAAACTGCGCGTCGAGCTTGCGCAGTCGAAGACGGAACAACGCGATTACCTCAAGAATGTAGAACTTGCACGAGTATTGGACAAGCGTAATGAGAAAAGAAAGGAAAAGGGTTTGGGGCCAGTTGAGCTTAAGCGCCCAGCTGAAAGTAGTAAAGAAGAGGAGCCTCGAAAACGACTGAAGCACACGGATGATACCCAGCTTGATAGTGTACTTGGTAGCATATTTTAGTTTAAGAGTTTTATGCATCATTCTAACGTTAACGTTAAATGTTCAACGTGTTTGATTAGTGCACGGGCCAGCCGGCGGCACGGGATAAAATTTAATCGGCGCGTGAATGGGGAAAGGAAGAGAACATGGTTGACGGAAGCAACGACTTGCATCGCGACATTGTTGACAAAGGTTTGAGTTGGTCAACTGCACGGTTGGTCTCAAAAACTCACAGTCTCGCGATCCAAGAGGTCTGTCTGTCCTTCTACATCATGCTCGGCTCTCTCCTCAAACCTCCATCCTTGCCGTGGAATATCGTCTCTGATTTCTCTCTCAGTTCTTACTTCTAAAGATATTATAATGTCTTCCTGGCCTGCTCCTGCTTACCCTCCGCCTCGTCGTTCGCGTTCTCGCTCCCCTCCTCGTGGTGGTCATCCTCGACCACCATATCCAGACGCTGGGTATCCTCCGGACCAGCACAGAGGTGGAGGTGGCTGGGATCCACATGAAAGGGATAGGGAGAGAGCATGGGTCGAGTATGAGCGAGATAGAATCGCATATGACCACACTCGCCGCAGAAGCCGCAGTCCGCCACCGGACGACAGTATGAAAATTTCTTTATACTTCATCCCATGACAGCACATTGACTAGTCCAATTTATATAGGCAGAAAACGTCGCAGGTCCGTTTCACCTTATGACAGGGAAAGGGAGCGATATGACCCACGCCCGCGTTATGGCGATGATTATGGTGTTTCGGCTGCGTTAAATCATTTTCTCATTTCTGACCTCAATCTAGATGCACATTCGCGGGTATATAGCTACAGGTCTCCCCCAAGAGCTCAATTTGCGCCCCTATATCCTCCTCGCAGGGCACCCGCAGACCCGCGTACACTCGATCACCCAGCAACCCTGAAGCAATATGCCGAATGGTTTAGATATGCTTTCCCTCAACAAGCTTCTGATGAGGATGCCGCCGACAAGGCAGCAGAACAAGAAGCTGGCGATGGTTCTAAGCCTCGCAACGGCATTCGTTCTCGTTGGGAGAAATATAAGAAGGATTTCGTCGCAACTCAGGTTAGTCGTCGTCAATCTCTCAAGCGTACTGTGTGTACTGCGTGGCATATTGTGTCCTTTGCCGTCATGAGTTTTGTGAAGCAGCAGCTGAACGTCCTTTGTTATGTATGTAGTTGCAGACCATGTTTGATCACCATAGGAAATCCCCATGGTTTGCAGAGAAGTATGACCCAGCTCCGGAGTTCGTTGCTCTACGCCGTCGTGTTCGAAAGGAAGGTTGGAGAGGGCGATTAAACACGTTTCTGCTAGACCTCGAGTCGGGCAAGTTTGATCCTGACTTGAGCGAGCCTGAAACAGACACAACTTCTCCCGTTAAGGAGACAGTCGAGGCTGGTGAGGATGCGAAAACTGGTGGCGATGATGACATGCAGTTCAACCTCGACGCTGAGGACGATGCTGGTGAACAAGAGCCCAGCCGCGCTGAGGCCAACGGGAAAAATGTGAATGACAACAAGCGCAATAATCGTGGCGAAGAGATTGCTGTCGCTCCGGAAGGCAATCAGGTCATGATTCGGACTATTCCGCCTGATATCGGCCGTGTGAAGCTGGAGGAGGTAAGTGTGGTCGTTTTATGGTGATTATAAGAGCTCATCAGGGCTTTGCAGGCATGTTGTAAGGTGCCAGGATACATGTATCTAGCGCTCGGCGATCCTCTTCAGAAACGCAACTACTATCGCGCTGGCTGGATCAAATTCAGTGATGATGCTGATATGACAGTTGTTATGAGTGAGTTGACTGATAAAAAGGTGAAGATCCTGGTTCCATACCGCGTGTCTTTCGTTAACACGACGCGATAGATCGAAGGCTTCAAGCTTCATGTTGCTCACACTGTTAAGCCCTTTGTAAACAGAATTCGCTATGTCCCAGAAGTCGCCAGTAAGCCAGACCGCATCGAGAAAGACCTTGCGAACGCAAAGCTCTTGGCCTCTATTTTAGAGGAAGAAGCTTTAGCACTACGCCAGTTAAATCCAGCAGGGCATGAGTCCTCGGCAACGAACGGAGATGCAAAACCCGTGGATGCTGTGATGAGTGATGCGCATGCAGACCATGAGGACGATCCGGAACCAAAAGAATCCGGATCTGAGGCTATAGAACGGAGGATAGAGAAGATTATGGCAGACCTTCGCGACCAGGGGGCGGTTGATGAAAAAGTCGTGGAGGCGAAGAAAGTATGTGGGATCTGACGCGCTCTATTTCATTATTGCTGACTTTCGCTCTCGGCTTTTTATAGGCTGTTATTTCCCTGGACTTATATCTTGCCTACCTTCGGGCAGCGTTTCACGCATGCTACTACTGCGCTGTTGTTACCGATCATCTTGAAGAATTGCAGCGTAAGTGCTTGCAGCACGTGAGAAAACCTCTATCCAAGTCATTGCTTGAGGAGGTAAAGGCTGCTGAGGCTGAGAAGGAAAAAAAAGAAAGGGACGATGAGAAGGAAAGTGATGCACCTTTACCCCCTAGGCCAACCGAGAACAGAGATTGGAAGCGCAATGGTAAGCTTCCGGCATTTATTAAAGTTGGTCTGGCTAATTACGTGGACCAGATGAGAGATGGCTGGAGTGGTTTGATAGCAAGATTGCGCTACTGATCAATCGCAACGACCTGGACCCGCGTGAATATGGCGGCAAAAGTTACGACGAGTGCGTGCCTCCTCTGATCTCAGATGATTGGAAATGTCATTCTCATTGCAGGGAGCTGAGCAAAGCTGTCGAGCAATTCATCAAGCAGGAAGATGAGGGCAGGTTCCGGTGCAAGACTTGCCAGAAGCTCTTTAAGGCTACCTCATTTGTCGAAAAGCATGTCGCGAACAAGCACCCTGAACTCGTGAAACAGCTCGATGAGGTACGCATGTTTAATTTCGTCTTCTTTCGGCATCTCACGGTCGCCGGATTTTCAGGTCCCTTACTTCAACAACTTCGCGCTGGACCCACATAGAATCCAGCCGTTCACACACCCACCTCCTATTACCGGGAACAGCCAGCCTCCTCCCCAAGCATTCGGTATTCAAGGACACGCGGTAGTATACCCGCCCCCGGACTTTGGCCGGCCGAATCCATATCTTACTTATCCTGCTGCGTTCCCTCCGCCACCTTATGGAAACAATGGTCAATGGGATCATTTCGGATATCAATACGGGCCTCCAGGTCTATTTCCTACTCCTACACCTATCCGAAGGGATGAAGCGACCACCGCTCGCAGGCTCAGTGATCGTATTAGTGGCTATGCACCCAATCTGGAGCAGCCGATAGAGGTTACAATTCCCGCTAATGCTGGACTTCCCGCTAAGCCACAAGTTACTATGGACCTTGGCCAGCCTGCGGCGGATATTGGCAGGAAAGGTCGCCGAGGAGCCACGAGCTCAGGTCCACCGCCACCTCCGCCACCCGATGCGAAGGAAGATCCCAGGGCTGCTGGGGGCAAGAAAGTCAGCTACCACGACATGGACTCGGTTGCTGAAGGAGATGTCGAGTTGACTTACTGATGTGATGATGCATACGTGATATAATTTCTCTACGCTTCGCAATATATTTTGGTGATTATGTCGCATGTTGGAAAGCGCCTTCCTCACAGAGCGCCGAGGAGGGACTCGTGTACTGGATGTGGCAAATACTTATAATATTGAGAGATCGTAGAACAAATTAGAAAGCCCAAAAGGGTCCAGGTGGTGCTCAAAAAGGATGCGTGTTGCGGTCAGTGTAGCACTGTAGCATTTCTCCCTGACCCTTGCCTGTCCCTGGCTTATTAACTCCCTTGTTTTGTAAACTACCTATTTCTGTGTTCCTTCTGCACAATCATTCCAGTTCGAAACTTGCACCACAAGTCGGGTGCTGTCGCACAACTCCTGACTCTACGGCACCGTGATCATCAATGAGTGGGGCCAAACCTATTCTTGCTCATCGTCTGCCGGTATCCGTTCTTGTCAATGAAGAAGGACTGATAGCGCCAGAAGCCATTGGCCCGAGCAAGTTTGCGGTAACGTGGTCTGCTGAACCTCCCCCTCCTGTACTTGCACCTCTTGTACAAGCTGCAGAGCGCCAAGTTGTCCTCAGTTCATCTGACGGTGAATCTGATTTTTCGGAGAAAGATCTCTGCTCGTTGGGAGAAAAGCAGTCACCTGCCGAGCTTTCTGACGAATTCGAAAGTTCGCTGAGTCAACGTTTTCGGCCTCAGCAACTCGCTCCTCACCATCACGATGAAAATCCGATTATTCCACGGCTTTCTCGTGCAACCTCCATGCCTTTGCCATCACAGCTAGAGCATCTAAAAAATCCCCGCAGGACCACGTCTACTTCACCTGAAGTGCCAAGTCAACCTCTCCCCACAGATGCCACTGCCGAATCCTCTCGGTTCCACGAACTTTCGTTAGAACTCGCGGATTCTGTTCAGATGGTCGTCCAGACCCTTTTACAGGTCTCGCCAACGCAAATACTTGACCCGGCGAAAGAACAATTTGCAGCTTGCTCTCTCTCAGTCCCCACCGCCTGCATGTCTGCTGTCTTCACGACGATGAAGAACCTCAATTACATTTCTGCGAATATGCCAGATCTATGTGCCGACACGTTCAACCCTGCTCATTCCAGCAATTCTACTTTGACAGCCCGCCGATTGACCCTGCCTGGACCACCTGTCACTCCAGCCACGGATTTCGATATTGGGGAGATGCTGCAAGGAGTCGGAGATGCATCGAGTGGGAGGGCCGCTGAAGTTGGTGTAGATCTGGTCTTATTCCATAGCGATGTTGGGATGAGGCATATTGCGGTCAAGGGGGTAGAATGTGGAATATCTAATGTGCTAACGCATGTGAGTAGGCCCGTTGCAGTTGAAGTCCTAGTCTCACGACCTACAGGTCGTCCGTCAAATCATCAATACCGCACGTCGCGGTGATTCAATTGATTTGGGCCTTAGTATCGCTTCGTCGAGCTATTTGGGCTCAAATATGTCACCTTCCATCGAGAAACCAAGTTCGACAGCAAGGGG